CATTCTACTGCCACAACGTTTCCTCTATACCAGTGGTATATCGACCCCCAGGGGTCTATGACAAACTGCAAGGGGTCTACGACTGCGGTCATCTTGTTGTTTTTAACACTAAACTTTACTACAGTTCAGAATTTACAAAAAATCAATACCAGGTAAGATTGGGGGGTCAAAATCCAACTACCCAAAACCGAAAAATATGGCAAGGGATCTACGATACGAAAAACTCTGGGAACCTCTGCTCTATACTAATAATTAACAATAATAAATACCTAATAAACAACGACGACCAATGCCGTAAGGATACTACAACAGAATAACCGCTTCCAATAAGTTGAAGATGTGTAGACACAATGGCGAGGAGATACATCCACACAGAACAGCAATTTGCAATCGACACCTGCGCATGTTGTTAAAATATTAGACGCTGGTTTAACACCAACATTACCGAAATACTCAAATGCATGTGATGTTGATCCAGCTACTATATTTACATAGTATAAAACAAAACGACGTCGCTGTCTGTCCTCTTATATCTTTTAATTACGCAACGGATTTTAATGCAGTTTCCATCAATAGATAGAGTGATTGAGGAGGAATGTTTATATGTATAATACATGCTTGTTATAATCTAAATATATAACTCAAACTTGACTGACTGACATAGTGATCTATCAACGCACAGCCCAAACCACTGGACAGATCGGGCTGAAATTTGGCATGCAGGTAGATGTTATGACGTAGACATCCGCTACGAAAGGATTTTGATTAATTCTACCCCCATGGGGATAAAATAGGGGATGATGCAGGATATAAATGTATTAGTTTGAACCTATCACTACCTAATGGAACGAATAAATTAAGACGAACAAAATCATTTTTAGTTCTTTAGGCTACTTTTATTTTAGAAACATAAAGTTAAATTCCTCGCGGACGAAGTCGCGGGTACAGCCAGTTAAAACATAGGTTGATAGGACTGAATTCTTGTGTAGGTATATGATTGTATATGGAAAAAGTGTGAGAATAATTGTTGCTTTTTTTCGTACTACTCTAATGCAGCTGGCCTTTACAGCTTCACCGGACGATAGGGGGCGAGTGCAGATGGCACAAAACCAGAAGAACTTATAGAGCCGCTGAAGGCCATCTCCCGCCTGACGAGTACGACTAGTCTGAGGGCACCGCTAGGAGTTTGAACCTCGGTTCAGGCCGTTGTAATTTCGACCCCCGTTTGAATTGGACGGGGGATCTATCGGAGGGGGTGTATAATTATGTATGTGTGTGAATGTACGTATATTTTTAGAAATTAAAGATCTAGTTCCCTGTGTAGATACTAGACTTGTAACTTTATACTACTAGCTGTGCCCGCGACTTCGTTCACAAGGAAAGAGGACGAATAAGGAATTTTAATTTCATCCCTATTTTTACCCCTTTAAGGGTAAAATTCGTACAAACTTTGAATGTCATATTGATAGTCAAAAGCTTATTAAATAAGTTCCAAGCTTCTAGCTTTAAAAATGATACTTCCATAGAACGTTTCATCTCCACTTTCAACCACTTACAACCCTTTCTTCGCACTAAAAAGTAGCCTATGTCCTTTCTCAGGGTTTAGACTACCTGTATACCAAATTTTATTCAAATCGGTGCAGTAGTTTTGGCGTGAAAGCGACACAGACAGACAGAGTTACTTTCGCATTATAATATTAGTAGAGATAGCTGACTGCAAACTTCTGCGGACGCCCATTTCCAGTTGCTGTCAACACAAGCTAATTTGTCATGCACTATGTCAAAATATACGCATGTTAAGGTTTCCCCACACAAATATGCCTACGTGTATGTATTATTCATTATTTACTACATGCCAGTAACAAACACACCGAAGACTGGAATTATTTTAACTAAAACATTGTGTTCTTGAACTTTGCTTTCTTGCAATAAAATCATGACCGTTGGAGTTGAAATCATACGTGAGAGTTCCGTTTATGTAATAGTTTGTACCCATCAGTGGCAACTTTATAGTTCTACATTAGGGGCCATTCAAGTATTACGTAAGCATTATGCACGGGGGTCTTTGGTTTGCTTTTTTTTTTTTACATAAGCGGTAGGGGAGTCCAGATTATGATTACGTCACACTTTTTTACACGAATGGTAACCCTCACATTGTCTTTGCTAAAAAAAATACATTAATTGAAATGTTTATGTAATCACGGAGGGAGGGGGTAAGAGCTTTGCTTACTTTTGCCACAGATAATATAATAGTTATTTGGATAAACTATAGGTACTACAGGTCCGCGAAATTATCGTAAAAGTTGTATAAAGATTTTGTTCACAGGATAATTCACACGGCGACATCTAGTACTAAATCTATTATATTACAATAACAACCAATTTAAACCTATGCTTTTGCTGACAAGGGGGTTGGGGGGTGAATAATTGTAATAAATCTGCTTATGTAATACTTAGACGGCCCCTTACCAGGTACATCTTTAACCATTGTGGCACAGCACCGACAGGTCCCAACTTTTTGTTGCGTGCTGCACCACCGACCACGGCAATGTACCTGTCCCGCCCACACTACGCCACCAAGGAACAGGACATTGTCCACTATACCCGGACCAGAAGTAACCTGACATTGAGGGTGATGCCGCTGGAAACGAGTCACAATGCGAGCTTCAACGCGTTCGTGGCCCGGGTCCCTACTAACATGCTGCCCACCTTCATGAAGGAGGACTACTGGCCGAAGGATGTGGTGTATCGGCGCTACCGTGGTAGATTGCTGTCGTCAGTGCCGTGACCATAGAGACAATTTGAATTTATATTTTATTATTATTTCTTATGTAAGTTAGTCTCTATGCTATTTATAATATGGGCCATGTAGCCTGAATTAAATAAAATAAATATATAAAAAAATATAGTGTTAGTCTTTTTATTGATGACTAGTTGACCCGCGCAACTTCGTCTGCGTTTCATTTCCCCACCTTTTGCAATATTCTTCATTGCAGCTCCGCTCCTATTGGCCGTAGCGTAATGTTATATAGCTTAAAGACTTCCTCGACGAATGGACTATACAACACAAAAATAATTTTTCAATTCGAACCAGTAGTTCCTGAGATTAGCGCGTTCAAACAAACAAACTCTTCAGCTTTTCAATATTAGTATAAATCAGTGGTTCCCAAATAGATTTTGCTGCGTTCCACTTCAAACAAAACCTCAAACCTTGCGGACCCCTTATTGTAGCAATCAAACTAATGTTATAAATGTGAAAGTTTGTGAGTGTGTGTATATGTTTGTTTTACTGATAGGCGCAACTTGATGAAACTTGCCGCAAATTGAAGCCCTTTTGAACAGTTACTGTTGAATATATTCACATACCCGACTACTTTGTAACTACATAATCTGGCCAGCCAGAGCTGCTTTGCGCTGATGTCCAAAAACTCTTAGATAGTAGTGGAAATTGAGGTTTTTTAAAAAATGTAAAGCAAATTAATCCTTACATAGTATAAAATAAAGTCACTATCACAGTCTGTCTCTATGTATGCCTAAATCTTTAAAACTACTCAATGGATTTTGAAGCAGTTTTTTATTAGATAGACTGATACTAGAGGAAGGTTTATATATATAATACATGTACACCCGTACAGAGCCAGGGTAGCTAGTATAGAATAAGGAATAATTAATCTGCATTTTTAAGATAAGCGACTTGGTGACCTAGCAATTTGGCACATCACCTTACTTATCCAATGGTTGCAAGTTCTATTCTGAATGGTGAGTGAATTTATATCAATGAGCATGATTGTTTCCATTTGTCCAGGTGTATTCTGTGTATATATTTATTAAAAAAAAGTAAGTATTTCTATCAGTTGTTTAAAACCTTAACACTATTTTTCATAAGTCAGACATTTCCTAAATTCATGCTCAAATCTACAGAATGAACAGTCTCTGTTGTTTAGTCTTTTCTTGTCTCACAAGATGTCTACAACTGGCTCTTCTTTTAAAAGTACATCATCATTTTTAATGTTCTGTATTTGATTAGATACTGCATAGTCAAATACAGGACTTTAAAAATACTACATAAATTCTAAAAAAAAATCCACTACAGAATTAAAGTCCATATTATATTGTTAACAGTGACTGCTGTATCATACAATCATAAAAAACCGACTATAAGTATACTGTCTCAGAGTCTAGTTTTTAACACTGTCATACATTTTTCGTAATATTCCTCTAGTCCTAGCCTTCTCTTCAGAAATTCGAAACGTTTAATGAAGGAATAACATATGAAAGTTTTCTCATAGCGCCAAGTCTTTGTTGAGTTTATTATTGGAAAACCAAATGTAGCACAAATTTCACCCACTTCTTCTCTGTGATGCAGTATATTGCAATTTAATTTCTTCATTCCTACTGCTATAACCATGTTGTGTCTATAATCAATAGTCAATTAGAATAATGAGATAAATAATAATGAACATAAGTTACTATAATACGAACATAAATGCAGTACAGTATAACACAGACAGCCATAAGCACAGATTACTACTTATGCAGACATGCAGATACTTAGTTCGCAGTGTAAGTATTTACAAAAATATTTATAACTAAGAAAATGGATCTCGTTCTTTGATAAATAATAATACAGCGAAAGAGATAGAGGCACTATCGCATTTCTAATATTAGTTTTAATGTGCCAAATTTTAAGTTAATATTCAATAACAAATAAAATATATTAAAATCATTACTTGCCTATACCTAAACTAGAAGTCTCTTTCTAGCATTGGATTCCGTTAACATTTAGATGGATAGAAATATATATTCTTTTAATATAAATAAAGAACTATAACTCATTGATCTTAGATAGCCTGTAATCTAATTTAATAGTTTCAAAAACACACATTCAAAAGACTTTTTATTTTAATTTCATGTGAATGAATCCTGAGAGCAATGAATCATTGTTCTCAGTGTGAAACTGAACGTGCTCAAAATAGAAACTTCTGTCAGTGACATGAAACGTCACGTCATGCGTCATACGTCACGCGTACGAAGTAAACGTAACAGGCAAACGATTGCAGAAAATCATAATTTAGAAAACCTAATACTAAACTGATTCTGGAATATTTCACGGCTGCATATAATGTAAACGAGATGAAGCATCGAAAAGAGCAAGTGGAGCGGTGAGCGAAATGTCGATAGAGTACGTCCCGGTGAGTGAGGGCGAGCAGGACGAGCCCATCGAGTTGCCAACTGAAGAAGACGGCTCGCTGCTACTGAGCACGGTAGCAGCGCAGTTCGCCAGCGCCAGTGGCCTCAAGTACCGAGCGGGCGGCCGTCTGCGCGGCGTGCGGCTGGTGGACGAGCGCCTGTCGCCGCCGGCGGAGGGCTGGGCGGCCCACCGCTACTGGTGCGCATTTCCTCGAGCCTCGCCCTCGCCTACGCCCCGGCCGCGCTGTTCCGACCTCATCGTCCTCGGATTGCCTTGGAAAACGGGCGAGGATGCCGTGCGAGAGTACTTCTCCGCGTTCGGCGAGCTACTCATGGTGCAGGTGAAACGAGACGTCAAAACCGGGCTATCGAAGGGCTTCGGTTTCATCAAGTTCGGCGATTACGAGGCGCAAGTGCGAGCCCTCGGTCGGCGGCACATGATCGACGGGCGCTGGTGCGACGTGCGCATCCCCAACGGCAAGGACGGCGGCGCGACCGCGCACCGCAAGGTGTTCGTGGGTCGCTGCACCGAGAGCCTGACTGCAGAAGACCTGCGCGAGTATTTCGGCGCGTTCGGGCAGGTGACGGACGTTTTCGTGCCGCGGCCCTTCCGCGCGTTCAGCTTCGTCACTTTCCTCGACCCGGAGGTGGCGCAGTCGCTGTGCGGGCAGGACCACATCATCAAGGGCGTGTCGGTGAACATCTCGACGGCGTCGCCGAAGCGCGACCGCAGCGAGCGCAACTCGCAGCTGCTGGGCTGGGGGCTGGTGGAGGGCGGCGCGCGCGTGTTCAACTGGCCGGCGGGCGACTGGCCGCCCGCGCAGCCGCCCGCCCACGCGCCGCCCTCGCACGCGCCCCACGCGCCCCACGCGCCCCATGCGCCCCACGCGCCCCTCGACACCAAGCTCTACCTCAAGTATGAGTGACTCCTTGTAAATATTGTCCAGTGTCGCCTGATACTTTACTTGTTGATCGCTGTCAAATTTTATATGAAACTAAATGTGTAAATAATATAATATAGTATGGAGTTGTCTATCTGCATTTCAGTTGTAATGTTGTTGGGAATGAAACACAAATACTAATATAATTAGTAATATTAAGAAATCAAAATATTTAAAATGCATCAACATGCATTTGTTACTTTTTTTATAAGTATCCACAGAATGTTAGAAACAAAAGTCAAACCTGTTGCAGATTTGCTGACAATCTGACTCGGTGGTAGTTGTGACAAATACATAGTATTGTAGCTACCCAATACATGACTAAATTGAATATTAAAATTTCATGGTTAGTGCACACAAAACTAATATCTCCATGGGCTCCGTAGCCCCCAAACCCCAGGAAAAAGTGTTGACAAAAGTAAGAACTTTGTGTGAAAATGTAAAATAATCAGGCTGACTTTGACTAAATTAAATTAGGGTTGAATCTAAATCACATAAAACAGATGTCCAATTATTATGTGAGAATAGATAGAGAGTAAATATTTAGAAATATATTAGAAAATTACATACAGAAATTTCCAAAATAGCATTGATATACATATTACATCTGTTGAATGTGTATTTGATCTGATCCTGATGTGGTTGTATCACAAGTCGGAGTACAGTACAGATTGTTATCATATTCAACCTTAACCATAGATTTTCACTACAAATTAAAATTTTATTTACTATGGTTGAAAACTAAAACTGTACATTAAATATTTTTGTAATCTAAAACCATGGTTTTTGTACTTCACTTGTCTGTTTGGATTTAAACGACTCAATTTTATTATTGGTTTATTGAACTGCTGAATTTTTTTTTTAACTACTATTACTAGTATTTTCAGGTCCTCAGACTATGAGGAACTTATTTTTTTTTTCCTGGTTTATCCGTGATCAGTATGTCTACTATAATTGGATTGGTTGGCAAATGGCAATGAGAGTCTGCAGTCCATTGAGTGCAAGATTTATTTAATGACATCATCTGGCATACATTCAGGAATTAAGAACTGGAGTGTATTTTTATGGATGATAATGGAATGCTGCATCCGCCTGCGCTAACGGTTTATAACGGCCCATCGTGACAAATTCACCAAGATTTATCACGATGGTTTCCTGGGGGAATCGCGTGGAGGTCAACCTGACATGGTACATGTACATGCTAGCAATAGGAGTATTAGTCCACATTACTAACAATACCCTTTCTCTCCAAACTAGAGTGTTGCTTATCCAAATCCAGTCGATATGTTCGATACAGGCGTTTTTAAAATTTTATTTTGAATTTATAAACTACTGCATGGGTGAGGCTAGTGTAGCACGGGTAGAGCTATGTTCAATAGTGTAAAAACAATTTACAGTGCAATACTTGCCTACTGTGGGTTTAAGAGAATAGGTGAAATAATATTTCACGTATTCTGTGACTTTATGCCTTACAAATTAAATACTGACTTTCCTGTTTATAGTATTAGTCTAAAAATAATTTATCAACAATGTTTTAATGTAGTAGGGTATATGTATGGACTATATATTATATTGATGGTTATTTTTAATGTATGATGATGGAATGCTGCACCCACCTGTGTTACAGTTGTATATGGCGGGGCAGCAGTGATATGATGAATGAGCATGAGGTCAAATCAGCCCATTGTGACAAATTCACTAGTAATTTATCACGATGGTTTCCAGAGGGAACCGCATGGAGGTCACCCTGACATAATACATTGATAGCCATGGGGTCATTAGTCCATATTACTAACAATTCCCTTTCATTCTACAGATAATCTTTTTCTGATTTCTGATCGTCTTTTCTGTGTGAAAGATGATATGGTAAGAAAGGGAGTAAATAACGAGATGACTGCGAACAGAGATGAATGAAAGCGAAAAACATATTACGACGACCACAATAAATGGGATAAGGAAGAAGCAGATGGTCCATGTATTTGGTATGGCTTGTGTCAGGAGGTTGTACATGTGTCATGTACAAGCCAATTTTATATATAACTAGCTGTACTCGCGACTTTTTTAAACTTTATTTTTCTAAAATAAAAGTAGCCTAAGGTACTCCTTATTACAGCTGATGTAATAATGAGTAACTCAGGCTACTTTTACACCTGCCAAAAAAAAGTCTCGACCAAATCGGTCCAGCCATTTATTTAGATTAGCCGGAAAAACAGACAGACAGACAAAAATTGTAAAAGATGTTATTTTGGTGTATGTACCGTATTTATATTCATATGCATGTAGTAAAAAACTGTTATTTCAATATTACAAACAGACACTCCAATTTTATTTATATGTATAGATTATTGGGAGGAAGCAATAACAAAACTCACATTAATATTATACAAACTTTTTTAATCTCATGACATTAAAACTGGTACTTACTCTCTAACACTTGTTACAGAAATGTTACACAATTACTAAATTAAATAAAATTACATTTATTTGGCCCACACACATGTTCTTTTGTGAATAATACAGTGTATCTGCTGTGTTGACCGGGACAGTCCTGTTTGCCAGTATTGTGATTGATTTTACCTCTGTACAAATAAAATCGGTGCATCGAAGTCGCCAAATGGGCATCGTAGGTAACAGGAGATTTGTTACTTGAACACAGACAGGATTGGGTAAGAATTTATAACTTCAAAGTTGGACCGTGTATAATATAAAAAAAAATTTGCCCTCGATAGAATAACTGCCAAAGTGGTCCCACTTCCTATGTTAGGATTTATTGATATAATCGCAACATAAATTTGAAGATGGACAAATATTATCAAAGATTGTTGTAGGGGATCTGCTTTCGAGAATGCATTGGGGATTGAAATATTTTTGAAACCGCAGTAAAATAATATTACATATTTCAAACTAAAGAAAGTTATAGGCAAATGTATATTTTTTATGTATGATAATGGAATTGCGTACCCGCCTGCGCAACGGTTTACGCTGGCGGGGCACCAGTGGAGGACGATAAGATGGGCAGGAGGTCAGGTCAACCTGACATGGTAGGTACATTGCTAGCAATAAACTCATTAATCTACATTACTAACAATCCCCTTTCCCCCTGCAAATGTACATTTGGACTGTCCGAGCTGTAAACAATCTCATTACAAATTAGGTGTCGACATCTATATTAATATTGTACATATTATACAAGTTGGGTACTACCTACGTGAATCACATTACTTGAAGAGATCATAACAAACATTCCTTGTGTTCTATTACGTTGACAAAACTCACCAACAATTGTTTAATTATAATATCTCAGGACCAATTGCCCTAAGATACCTGAGACACAGCGCCATCTAGTCACCAAACTGAGCAGAGCTTGTGTTATGAGTACTAGATAACTTATAGAAATAAAAATAAATAGATTTTTTTTATATACATACTTAATACATATAGAAATCATTCCGACCGATATTAACAATATTCATATTGTTTTGTATTGTACGGAGTAGTAAGGCGGAGTGCTGAACCGCTAGTCTAAAGAAGCCGTGAAATCATCATAATGGATCACAAAGTAGGTAACATATCTATTTACAATATACAATATACGTAAGCAGACCATGGTGGGACAATACAATCTTCACATCTAATTGTATTACAATCCTTTTTTTTTATTAATATGGTGACAATCAAGCACAGAGTCCATTTTATAGTAAACGTAGCTTATGAACGCTTGAAACACCAGGACAGTTGGTGAGCGTTGCTGATCTTCAAGAAACCTTAATATATTCTACTTGAACAACTGTGTCTCTAGAGAAAACAGGTCGGCAGGTAGTTAATTCTACAATATAAGTGTCGGCAGGAAGCTCCACTGAAACCGCACTGATCAGAACATTTACGGCCCGAGTGCTAGCGACAGCTCAATGGAACTAATTACCTCTCGGTTGAAAACTTATATACATTATATAAGATAAGGTAGTTCTATTGTGAAATCTAGTGAACGTCAGCTCAGGTTCTGAGGGTGGGCTGAAGAGCACGATCATCGCAAACATTGTGATTTATATTTTGTTTTGTAAAATAGACCTTATACAATATAATTTTAAAGTTAATTTCAGTTCTTATTTAGGAAATTTATTTTAACGTGTCTACTGCTCACTAGATGGCGTTAGGTGTCTATACTATGTTGTACATATAGAATTTGTTTAAAATCTTAAAGGTAGGTTCTTCTTTCTGTTAATAATAAATAACAATTATCTATAGTTTCTGGTTAAAGATAATGTCTTTTGTTTGTTATAACTGCACTTAATCCAGTTCTAACGTGAAAAAGTTTCCTGCTGCCTTTAAAAAAAAAACAAAAATATTATTTTATTGAATAAAAATAATTTATATTCAACTTCATAATTTAATATTCAACTATACAATCTGCAGCGCTTACTTTTAAAATAGAGGGTAGTGTAGACAAATACACCTAACATCAAGTGATATTTGCTGGAGATTCGTACGAGCTTATTCAGGTATTTTATGATACACACGTGGCCATACTACTGTTTATTGCATCGACGGACATGTTACAAATCTACTGTTCTGTATTCATATTTTGACTACCACTGTGTTGTGTTATATTACGTTAATGAAACTCCCCAACAATAGTTTAATTATAATATCTCAGGACAATTCACACAGCGCCAACTAGTCACCAAACTGAGCAGAGTTTGTGTTATAGGTATTTGATAACTTATAAAAATAAATACATTTTTTGGGAATACATATAAAAAACATCTAGACCGATATTACCCATCATACTCGTGAATAGAATTGTAAAAACAGGAATGTTATTTTAATAAAAAAATAATTTATATTCAACTTCACAATTTAATATTCAACTATACAATCTGCAGCGCTTACTTTCAAAATCGAGGGTAGCATCAAATATTACGTTATCATCGATAAAACTTTAATAATTGATACAAGGATATGGACTATGGATAAGACTTAAATTTTGAACACGAATGAAAACATAATGAATAAACATACATAAGAATTGGCCTTTGGCCTCATCAGTTGTTCAAATATGAAGAAGTTTAAAAGTAGACTAGGCTGTACGGTCTAAGGATCTTTGCCTGTTCCATCACTGAAAAAGAGATGGACGAATATGGAAAAAAAAAAATATCTGTGGTAGTATGAACAAATACACCGAACATCAAACTATATGTGCTGAAGATTCGTACGAGCTTCATTAGGGTTTTTATGATACACACGTGGCCAAACTTATGATAATTTCATCGACGGACTCGTTACAAATCTACTGTACGGTACGCATATTTGTCTACGGACATATCTTTAGCAATAATTCATATTGCTAAAGATATGTCCGTTTTGACATTTGACACATGTTAACATTTACTAACAAAAAAATTGCGGTACCTATACATTACTCGTTTGTCTATTCTCCCAAATTTGAATTTAGAATTTCTATAAATGAATCTGTATTATTAAATTTTTTTTTCTCTTCTTTTAGCTCCGGCGGTTTGTGTTGCCATTAGCCATTGCCATTAGCCATATTCTGCAATATATAACTTGAAAGAGAAAGAAAGAATAGCATACGCTGGTGGTTAATCTATTCTTCCAAATTTGAATTTAAATGAATCTGTATTACTGTAAACATGTACAACGTTTATTTGAAAAGAATACGAGCTGAGTTTTTTGTCAGTTCTTCTAATCTCGAAATTATTCCGAACTGACGGCAGATTTTCCATATCATAAGAGTCTATAATAAACCTACACGAATAAAGATATTTGAATTTGTACTAGAATCATAAGGATTATCTGCAATCGTCTAGAATATTAGAACGGCGTAGTAGGTATATATGTACATGGATAGTTACGAATTATCTTATCTGTGATACTAGCAACTCAACGTAAATATTTAGCCGCCCAATCTACTCGGGACACGCCGCTGCCCACTGCTGCCGTTTCTGCAAAATAAAATTATTAGTAATATTGATACATTATGCATAGAAAATTGCATCATTATAAACTATATGTCGTATGGAGAACTAATAAAATATAAATCACAATATAAAGATGCGACGAGATATCAAAAAGGACCTCTATACAGGATAATAAGATTAATAAATCTCGGGAATCATATGTTCGTAGAAAGAGATGAAAATCAGATGACTGAAAATCTGATGATGAGTGATTTAGCGCCTTTTTATAATAATCAATTACTGTTAAAAATGGAGGACATGTGACTTTACGGGCAAACGCGTAATTATAGAGTTTATAAAATTTAAACGTGTCTGAAAAATATAATCTGTGACATAAAAAATAAGTAAAATTAGAAAAATGGCTCGAAACGCGCGCTTTCACGCGCGAAAGAGTAATCGCAAAAAATAAATAAAATGCAATCACACTCGATAGAAATCTGAAGAGTACCTTTATAATTACCTCGATGCGTTCGAAGTGGTAGCGGGCGGAACAGCGAGGTGTCGATGCGGCCGCCGGCGACGTACCGCGAGGCGCCCAGGTAGGCGGCGGCGGCGGCGGCGGCGGCGGCGGGGGCTGCGGGCGCGGGGGGCGCGGCCGCCTGCAGCGCCGCCAGCACGCTGCGACCCCCCGCGCGCACCTCCCGCACCTCCCGCACCTCCCGCCGCCCGCCCGCCTGCAGCGCCTCCGCCGCGCCCGCCTCGTGCACCACCTCGCCCCTGCGCACCGCACACTATACACTAACAATGCCCCCTTGGACTTATGATCCCGTTGTTGTGTACCATGTCAGGTTGATCTCCATGCGGTTCCCACTGGCAACAATCGTGATATATTCGTGGTGATTTTGTCACGATGGGCTTAACTGACCTGACCTCATGCTCACGTTATCATCCTCCACTGGTGCCCCGCCCGCGTAAACCGTTATACAATCAATACCACCATCCATCATCATCCATTAAAAAAAACTTTAACCCTTTATTATTAGGTGTAGGAAAAGGATTGTTAGTCATATGTCACATGTCCCATTGTGTATAAGTCTGCTGTGACCCACACAATCTAGATGCTATGATGTGTCTATGATAAGTTCGGGCTACTTTCCAATTTGATTTCTTGAGTACACGATGATTGAGTGTGGCCTGTTGCTTGCTTGTGAGTATTTGCTGAAGGGAAAATGGTATGTGTGGATGTTATATAGACGTATATAGCGGTGTGCGATGTTTTCTCATTTATATTACCCGAGAATATCGGCGAATCTGTCGCGATGCGCCGCCACCACGACCGGTATGACGGGCGCTACGACGGCAGGCGGCGGTTGCGGCGGCGCCGGCGCCTGCACCAGACCCATCGGAGGAGCATTCTCCAATTCACTTCTACTGCTCCTGAATTTTTTTACATATATGTATTTATAAACCCCACCCTACTGACCAATACCACCTATTGGGGGGAAAGCTAGCAATGTAGTAAGTCAGGTTGATCTCCACGCGGTTCCTCCTGGAAACTACAGTAATAAATTCTCGGTCAATTTGTCACGATGGACCAACTGACCTGACCTCATGCTCATCTTATCAACCTTCACTGGTGCCCCGCTAGCGTAAATTGTTAGCGTAGGCGGGAGTACCATTCCATAATCATCCATAAAAAAGATACCACCTATTATAACGAACCTTCTAGCTCGGGATGCCGGCAGGGGAAGAATCAGAGCGGCTCCGATCGCAAAATAAGGAAATCTGAAAACATATAAATTTATTCTATAGCAACCGAATAGACTTTGTCAAAAACAAAGATATTAGATCCATATTTTACTGGAGCTTAAAGTCAGTAACCTATTCTAAACGACCAAAAGAAACATTATTTTTTTTATATTTCAAGAATTATTTAGCGACACGGTAGTTTGATGACTCTGGCAATTAAGCAGTAGTACAACTTTTTGAAATCTGATGAGAAACTGAATCACTCAATGATTACTATTAGGAACCGCCTGCTTATGTCACATATTAGGACCTAATTAGTATTAAAACAAACCGTAAGGCCTGAGGCGCGGTGGGTCGGTCTCGTGGAGGATATCGCAGTAGCGCAGTGAGGAGCGCGAGGGCCGGTGGAGACGCGCTGGGTACCACCCGCGACATCGCCACTCCGGTGCACGTTGGAAACCGAAAACGCAACGCATCTGCCAAGGCGTACCCTTCGGGCCACTCGTCGCGGTCAGGTGTGCCGAGCACTGCGCATATCTTGTGCAACTGATCTATCTCAGAGTTACCGGGAAATAAAGGACGACACGTGTATAGCTCCGCGGCGATACAACCGAGCGCCCACAGGTCAATTGGGGCTCCATAGCGTGTGTCGTGCAGGAGAACTTCAGGAGCGCGATACCAACGAGTGGAAACGTAGTCGGTGTACGGCGGCCGTGAACGCACCTCACGCGCTAGGCCTAAGTCCGCAATTTTCACGAGTTCTGGACCGGCGCACAACAGATTCTCCGGTTTAAGATCGCGATGAAAGAAACCATGGCGGTGCATATGCGCCAACCCCTGCAACACCTGATATAGCATATTTCGCAGGACCGGCTCTGGGAATGGACGTTCTGCGTCTCGTATTAGTTGGTATAAGTTACCACGCATGTACTCGAACACAAAATATAGAGTGTCATTCTCCCGAATCACTTCACGTAGCTTGACGATGTTTGCATGATTTAGTTTTTTTAACGACTTAACCTCACGCAAGTTCATGGCCTCGTCCCACGAGTAGTACTTTCTTTTCATACGTTTAATAGCGACCTTCTCGCCGTTGTCGCGCCGCTGCGCCAGCACCACCGACCCATACGTGCCGTCTCCGAGTTGCTGCAGCACCACGTAGCGGTTCATAATGCCCGCGCTCCTCAACAACAAACTTAATTCACCTCAGGAATTATAGAGGTACACGCGGGCACATTCCATTTGTCAAAGTCGATAAGTTGAAATGAGATAATATGCTGAAAATTTTAGGTAACTTTTTATTTTACGAACGTCCCCAAATCGTTCACAGTCATGCTGACTATATTGTTTATTAATGTAACATACATTTGAAAAACAGATTTATAATCCCAAGACTTTCATATTAAGCATCACTGGGACAGAATCTCCTTTTTCCAAATCCTCAATGATACAATTCACTAATATACATTTGAGATATTGAACCAACATTGTAAACTTTCAGTTTTCCTGGTGCAGCACTCATAGCCAAATAATACGCATTTAACGTGAAACTACACATGCTTTAAATTGAAGAAATAAATCACTATAATAAGACAAATATGAATATTTCATTGAAATTATTTATTTCCTTTCAAGTATTTATCAACATTACAGCAAGTCTTGTAATTATTATTGGTTACCATGGTTTCCAGTTAACAATATTTACGTAATAGATCGATATTTCAAGGGCCTAGTATGGCACTACCAAAGAATAAGGAAATATGTGTACATGTTATTCTAAATAATATAAGATACTATTATTCATCATATTTCATGCTGATGAGGCTAAGAAGATTTTCCAATTAACTAAGTAGATATGTACGTACATATTTATTGTCGTCAATCTAACTTTTGTTTAATAAAATAAATAACATTTGTAAAAGGAGCGTAAGTTCACATGCTTTTTGTTTAAAATAGATAATTATGCTGACTACAAGTTATACGTAATATTTATTTTCAAATTAACAAGCTTAAGTTATTGGACTCCTCTGTCGGAATCGAGTTTTTTTACAATTGCGCTTTTATTAGCCCGAAAACTGACCGATATGATAACACTGAGTAGCAGTCAATGTCAAGAAAGTCTCCTTCACAGTAGTACAGAGTAGAGCAGATCTGCAGATAAATCTGTGGCTCTGTGAATAATAAAAGTTTTGCATCAGTCAGTTTCTGAATTTTGAAATCAATTAAATAAATAAAGTATTATGTGGTTGTCTGTAATAAAGAAAATATAGTGATGACTATATTACAGAATATTCTCGTGCTAACATAGTTTTGTCTATTTAGTTTAGTGTGGCAAATAGTGGTATAGAATTAACTTTTTGTTGGTGAACTCGTTCTTGACATACAACTATACTTACTGTATCTTAGATTTATCAATAATAGTTATTGAATGGATTTACCTATATAGTTAAAACTGTCAGCAGTGTACTTGCCTCCTGTATGGTCAGACGCGGTGACTCCGGCTATGTATATAAACGATGAGTGGCGTTTTAGCAAGATGTAGAGTGAGTTCGGAACAGTTGGATTTATTGCTGTCTTTTATGGAAGAACACCTCGACTTTGCTGCAGGCAAGCAATCGATATATTCGCGCTTTAGCTCAAGTAAATTGTGGAGACTACTCGCGGAGCGCCTGAACGCGGCGGCGGCTGACAGCGGCGGCGCACGCAAGTCGCCGGACAAGTGGTGTCGGGTAAGTACACTACACCTGCCTATTATACTTTCAACATTGTTTGTTTATATCATTGCAATAATAAACAAGCTGATGTAGAATTTATCCTCAGCAGAAGCGGCGACCAGAGTTGGGTAGACAAATATTGACAGCATCACACAATTCAGTGTCACAACACCTGTATTGCCATCCCTGAACTTAAAGTATTTCACTGTCATGTCAGTATCTTCTCATTATTTACTTATTTTCAAGAGTCAGTAACATATGTAATAACTACTTCCCGGAGTCCATATGCTCTGGTAACCATTTATCATCAGTTGGATTATATATTTGATTGCTAACAGAAATAATCACCTTTTAAAATAGCACTTAGCTAGGGGATAGAAATAGGTGAAATTGAGGTATCTATGCAGACTTAACTTTTTATTTTTAAACTTTTGTGTTTAGGTTCTTGTTGTTTCATCTTGTAAAGGTCTCCTTTTAGTAAATTAAGAAGTTTCTTTAGCCCTTCCCAGGTTTTTTATATGTGTAGAGTTATTACATAAGTGCTTTGTTAAATGAATCTGTATAATTATAAAAATGTACAACATTTATTTGAAAAGAATACGAGCTGAGTTTCGTATAAGTTCTTCTCATAGTGAAATCATTCTGAACTGATGATAGATTTGACATATCATAAGAGTCTTGAACTTGTTTTATAACCATCATATATTACAGTAGTGTTTTGCCTATGTAATTTGAACAGAAAAAACTCATAATAATTTAGTCTCTTCTACAATTGTTACAGTATTGGGCAGACATAAAATATAAGGCACGCAAGAAGTCAGCAGCGGGAGGCGCATTGGGGGATCTCTCTACTGCCGAGGAGCGTCTCCGCAATATCCTCAACGGTAGCGGCAGAGAATGTGAGTGATTTCTTTGTATGCATTCGTCAGCGCATCAAACAATGTATAATGTGATGACGTGATACGGTGTGCGCAGTGCCGGGCGGGCGGCCGGGCAGCCGCTCCGACGAGGACCACAAGCCGCCGCCCGACGACGACATGTGCTCGGAGGGCTCGGCCGACGCGCCGCGCGTCTCCACCGAGGAGGTGCTGGCCGAGGCGGCCATGCGCAGCGCGCTCGCGGCCGAGAAGCAGGCCGAGGCCGTCGCGCAGGCCGTCGACCTGCTGCGCGACCTGCTGGCGCTCATGCGCGACCGCGCGCCGCCCTACGCGCCCCACCCGCCGCACCAGCCCCACGCGCCCCATCAGCCCCACGCACCCCACCCGCCCCACCAGCCCCACGCGCCCGACCACGCGCTCGCGCCCATGCAGCAGCACCATCACCACCGGCTCTGACTGCCCCCGAAATTATTGCGTATGCAGAGTTTTCACTTGGTGCTCGTTCTGAAGGGACGCTACTGTTGAATGAACAATGTTAATTACACTTCTGATCATACTGAAGCCTCTTAAATGGGATATTTCTCAACCCTATACATATGTAGTCTTGTGATTAAAAGCCATACTGCATCTAGATTATTTTCTTAAGATTTTTTTACAATAAATAATCATTTATTATAACATTTACATTTGTCCCATTAAATAAAAATTATAAAAAGATAGATAACTATTCATATACATATGTTTAAATGATATTCCACATTAACTATCAATAGAATTTATTCACAACTTTTCTATTTCATAATTCAACATTTGCTTTGTTTTATTATATATGTACAATAGTAAAGAAACTAACAATATGCATTGAATGAATTTTTATATTTACAAAATCATTCATGGCTAACTGAAAATGGCCTAGTAAATGGAGCAGGGTTTGTATGTTATTTCATTTTATTCCGGCCAGTTCTTGACGTTTATATATATATATATATCGGTCGTGATGTAGTCGGTTCAGATAGATGCTAATGTATTCATAGCTCAGAATCACTACTCCAGGTGGGACGCAAAGAAAAAATATATTAACTATACACATAATGTAAATGCGCGATCGCGATAACGCCGATATCGAAAGCGAGCGTAATTAGGAATAGAGATAATAGTCCCTGCATAATTGTGCCTATTTTAATTATAGTTGTATCGATTTCGTTTAATCCTAGTTTCATTGAGACTATCCTAGTGGTCGTAAAATATAAACACTTATAGTACGTGACATGCGAGCGTCTGTATGGTGTGCGAGATGCACTGCTGCGACTAGCGAGCGGGCGGCAGCAGGCCGACGGCGGCGGCCACGCGCGCGTACACGTGGTCGGCGCGGCGCCGCGCACGTGCCGCGCCGGCCCGCAGCACGTGCCGCACCAGGCGGGGCTTCGCGCGCAGCGACTCGGCGCGCGCCCGCAGCGGCGCCAGCTCGGCGGCCAGCGCGCGCGCCACCAGCCGCTTGTACTGCGCGGTGGTGAGCCCGCCCGCCGCCTCCACCGCCTCCTCGGCCGACAGCCCGCCCGCCAGGCAGTGCAGCGCCACCAGGCTCGCCACGCCCGGCCGCCGCTCCGGGTCGTACGTCACCTGCACGGTTAACATCCGTCGTTCGTGTTCGGCGACGAGGTAAATATATCTGCGTCGGCCGACTATTAGATTTAAGATTCGATAGCACCGTTAATGATTTCGATAATAAATAAATATTAAAGTAAAAAACCAGTGTATTTTATTTTTAATGGTTCCCAGTAGAAGATTACAAACCCGAACTTCAAACCTACGACACTGATGTGTCACTAAAAAATGTTAAAAATCAATAAAACTGTGAGGATTAATACGGTGACATTTAATATAAATTTCAAATTAAAAACATCTGTTGTCACAACAAATTGGTGACATGACAAAAAAACTGAAATTTTTTATTATGTACAATTGTGTGATGATTGATAAATCACTTATATTAGGACTCACCTGGGGTGTAAAATCTGTAACAGCTTTTCTGATCTTAAGAGCGATAACATCGTCAGAGTCGGTCAGCAGTATCCGAGATTTAGGATCTGGATCCGATTTAGACATCTTTTTTGAAGGGTCTCGAAGACTGCGTAAACGGTCACTGCCGTCATCTGAATAAAATAATAGAGTTGATTAATGATCATATTATAGTATGTTAGACCCTCAAATAAATGTAAATTATTTATATTTTAAATAATAGGTCTACTAGATTCTTATCAGCTTATAATAATGATGTAGTATTTGATCGGGCTGATGAGTTACCACCAGGCAGTAGCGCGCGCGGCGTGGGGAAAGGCTGGCAGCCATAGCGGTGACGGAACGTGCGTACGAGCTGCGCCGCCACCTGAAGATGTTGCGCCTGATCGGCGCCCACGGCCACGTGCGTGGCGCCGTACACGAGCACGTCGGCCGCCTGCAGCACCGGGTACAGCAGCAGCCCCAGCGGGACCTCCTTGAGCGCGGCGGCCTTCTCCTTGTACTGCGGCAGGTGCGCGAGCCGAGCCTGCGTGGCGAGGCACGCCAGCAGCCAGCACAGCTCCGCGTGCCGCGGCACCGCCGACTGCGTGAACACCACGCTGCGCTCCGGGTCCACGCCCGCCGCCAGCACCAGCGCCGCCAGCTCCAGGGAGTTATCCCGCAGCGCCTGTGGGTTCTGGACCGCGCCCCACTCTTATTGACCATATCATACACATTTTATTTTTATGAACTTTTAATAGCGAACAATCTGACAGCCCACCTGCACCACCAGCACTATGACATCACATTGTCATATGACACCTGTGACACTATATTGGTGCCTAAATGGATAGTTAGATAGACACCCGCACAGATGAGTTACTTTTCGTCATCACTACACTATTGCCTGGTTAGTGACCTCTTTGTTTACCTTTTTAGTAAGTTCTAAACAAACGCAGTAAACTTACATGATGCGTTGTAAGGGAATGTAGGTCAGCTATGAAGATCATGAGGTCTTCGCCGGCATCCTGCAACTGTACGCATCGTCGCAGAGCGCCAAAATAATTGCCAACATGTAGCGCCCCCGTAGGCTGCAATCCTGTTATCACGCGGCGAGGCCACTCTTCGCTTTCTGCTTCACTTTTCTGAAATCACATAATAATTTATGTGAAGTTCTTCGATTTTAAATTCAATATTTTTAAACACACACCTTGGTGCAGTAATTGTGCCCAAGTCCACAGTAATGAAAACGACGTGGATACCGTCTCAAATTAACTATACTTCGTCTAATAAATTCCATTGCAATGATAACTTCCAATAACTTTATTTAATATTTCCTAATAATTCATACATAATGATGGTCTAAGGTTATTTAATACGATATAATCAAAATCAAATGTAACTTATATGTACATTTGACATTGTCAAACTTGTGTCACTCAAATGTCCGAAGTCGAACGATACGTATTCGTTGTGTCAAATCACAGAGCAAGGAGTGTCCAACAAGAAGAGCAAATAATCACTACAATAAAAACGACCGAGTAAAGAAAAGAACGAACCTTATTCCGTAATCATTCAAACAAGTTTGTTTTAAACCTTGAACCGTAATGTCTGAACAACAATTAGAGCAATACTGTTTATTGTATAATTAACAAACTATTTAACTCTCTTCAAACCACTATTACTAAAGTTCACCATTTTTGGCACATTGACACTTTGAAATTAGTCAAAATAATTATTATTGACAAGTCAAGATTGTCATGTCAAATACTATCGAATTCTTTGACAGTCTTAAGTACAGAAATTTTAAATGAAACTTTCAAAATTTTCTAAATTGAATTATATAAATAGTTCGATATCGTTGTGACCCCTAGGTCACCGTGCTAGGTACTGTACTATACTGAGTACAGTACCATAGATTTAAAAGGCCGTGAATTTGACCTACAAACACTTAAATATTGTATAAGAAATCATTTTTATTACTAACCCTCCGGTAATAGAAACGCCGATAACAAACCAAACTAATCAGAGATAAGGTCTGTATCGTTTGAGTATATCAAACCTAAATTTAGGATTCCGTCATCTGCTGAAGAAACTGCTCTCTCGTTCAAGCTGACTGATTTTTATCGTTATCCAAACCTATCAACATATATTAACCAGATGGAAGGGGCTTGTTAGTAATATGGACTATTAACTTCATTGTTAGCAATGTACTACGTTAGATTGACCACCAAGCGGTTCCCGCTGGAAACAATTATGATAAAAATAGAATGAAGTCAGGTGACTTCAAGTTTGAATTTAAAAGTGGATAGCCGCCAGCCGTTAGTGTAGTGTAGTAGAAGTAGAAGGGTGCACCATTCCATTATCACTCTTAAAAAACATATAATTCAAATCCATCAATCATATTCTATTAATTAACTATAAAGCATTAATAAATCTAATTATTGGCATTTAATGTGAAATAGAACTTCATTAGATACAGTTGCAGGTGACAGTTACTATGATGAGTGAGTCCTTTGTGATCCCGTACTCACAGGATAAAGACTATCTAAGATGCATATTGCACATGTGACAACATACTTTACTATTATTGTATATACAGTATCAACTTGACTCATGTTTGGAAGTGAACGGTGGGTATGGTAGAAACATGGAAGTTGGATATGGCCACAATGATGTCTTACTCAATAATAACCAAACGTAAAAGTATAAAAAAAAAAGAAAAGAAAAAAAAGAAAAAAAAAAAAAAAAGGGAAAGGGAAGTGATAAGGGAAAAAAAAAAAATTGCCGAATTACGACAAAAAGTGAACTGTGAAATTAAACAATCAATAATTAAACAAAACCTGGACTATAACAAATAGTGAACTTTGAAAATAGTGTTAAAATAAGATTTCATATAATTGTATATGCAGTGTAAGAATTCATAATGTGTATTGTTACATTATGAATTCTTACATTGCACAATGTAATGAAAACTGTGAAATAAGTAGTAGTGTAAGATTTATATAATTGTATATGCATATTGATAAATCTAATCCTCCAAATAAAGATGGGTGACACTGCATGTTGTCAACTCACCCGGCCGGCCAGCGGTGGTTCTGGGCCAGACGGATAAGGTCTGCCTCGGTGTCACTGTTAGGCAAATTGTAACATCTCGGCTGGAGTTGTACAAAAATGGAAATTAAATAAATATTATAATATTAAAGTAAATTAAAAAAGGCACGGACGAATATGTCTGTGGAAAAATGTATTTAAATATAAAAAAAAAATAACAAAACTATTTAATTATAAGCAGTGGTTGCTCCCTATCATACAAAGTTGCATTCATGTACATTGCGCTGAATGTATTTCTCTCTCTCTCTGCCTAGCCATTTGCTATATCGTTTGGGGTCGACTTTCCTAGTCTTTCTTCGCCAGGCACATCTGTCCTGGGTCTTTGAGTCGGTTACTCAACGACTCAGAACACATGTGTGTATGTATTTGGATGTATATGTTTACAAGAGATGTGTACTCTCCATGGTATGAGTCCTACTTGAATTGGGACGAGATATATGATAGGGCAAGATTATATAATTATTATTGGCATATGCACAATGAATAATTATCATAATATAAGTATAGTTACATCAAAGGCATACAAGTTTAAGTGGTCTATTCTCTATAAAGCAATATAGATATTAAAAACGAACTTAAAAGTATATAAAATTCTCGTGTCACAGTTTTCATTCCCATACTCCTCCGAAACGGCTTGACCGATTCTCATGAAATTTTGTGAGCGTATTGAGTAGGTCTGCGAATTGTCCAACATCTATTTTTCATCCCCCTAAATATTAGGGGTAGTCCACCCCTAAATTTTTTTTTAATATAAGGGAATGTAGTAGTAATGACTGTATTTTGTATGTAGTGAATGTTCCACAAACGTTATAGTTTTCAGAGTGGAGGCATGGAGGAGTGCGCGGCGGCGGCGGCCCGGTGCGTGCGGGGCGCGGGCCGCATGGCGGCGTGGCGGCTGCACGCATACGGCGCGCCGCATGGGCTGCGGCTGGAGGCGGCGCGCGTGCCGCCGCTGCGCGCGCCCGACGAGCTGCTCGTGCGAGTACACGCCGCCTCCCTCAACCCGCTCGACGTCGCCATGATCGGTGCGTACGGCGACGCGCGGCCTGTAGGACTGTTCAAATACCATTAATAAAAAAAATTGTATACAACATTTTCGAATGAGAGTAATGAGCCTGTAGCGCGGTGGTTATCACCCCATCATTGTAGAATAGAATAGAATAGAATAGAATAGAAAATCATTTATTCAAATAAACTTAATTTAAGCACTTTTGAATAGTCATAACAATTTGTTTTTTATCTACCACTCGTTCGGAAAGCTGTCTCATCACAAGAAGAACGAGCAAGAAACTTGTGTGTTGCTCTTTTAAATAATCCTTGTAAGTTTACATTTACAAGTCGAAACGTGTGAATACAAACTACCAACAAGCACTAATTTTTTGGGTCAAATATAATCATGCAATAAGATTAAATCAGTCGTAGTGATAAGAGCAGACCAGTCCCTACAAGCAGCACTCGTTCACGAGTATGACGGATGAGCCAGCCATCACTGCGCTCGACCATATTTTAGGGAGCCCATTGACCCGGCCCACCACGCCGCCACATGTCTGGACATTTTAGTGAGCATGACTACTCATTCCACACGACCACGTCACAGCTACAAAAATTACTATATGGTAGTTACAGTATTCGCACTTTACATAAGGATGCATGCGGCAATCAATACAAAAGCCGCTACGCTATCATATATCAAATATAGAAAGCAGTATGAAAATTAAAATTATAACGTTGTCCGCAAATAAACTTATTCTTGCTATATATTGCTATCATCTATAAATTCATATATCTTATAATAGGCTTTTTTACATAACATTTGTTTAATATAAGATTTGAATTGCCTCTCTGTAAGATTTAGCGTAGACTCTGGCAGTTTATTATAGAATCTTACGCAATTACCATAAAATGAATTACTAACTTTGTGTAGACGGCATTTAGGTAAAATTAGCTTATTTTTATTGCGTAAGTTTCTACTTGTACAGTCTTTAAGTTTCTTGAAACTATCTAAGTTTTTCCTTGTATACATAATATTTTCATAAATGTACTGTGAGGCAACGGTGAGGATATTTGATTGTTTAAAGCATTGACGTAATGACTCTCTAGAACCCATACCATAAATAGAACGTATGGCTCTCTTTTGTAAAATAAATATAGTATTTATATCGGCAGCTTTACCCCATAGCAGTATGCCATATGACATAATGCTATGGAAATAACTAAAATATACAAGTTTTGCCGTCGCCACGTCTGTTAATTGCCTTATCCTTCTAATTGCATAAGCAGCAGAACTAAGTCTACTGGCTAATTTTGAAATATGGGGCCCCCATTGTAACTTCGAGTCCACTGTTATTCCTAAAAAAACTGTATCATTAACAAAATTTACTATTTCATCATTAAGCAATAGCTGCGTATTTACTTGTTTTACATTAGGCAGCGTGAATTTAATGCACTTAGTTTTGTTGGAGTTCAATAATAGATTATTACATGTGAACCAATTTAGTATAGCAGAGATAGCATAATTTACATCGTCTAATTGATTACATTGGCGACCAATTTTAAACACTAACGAAGTATCATCCGCAAATAACACTATATCTGCAACTTTCTCTACCATGTAGGGAAGGTCATTTATATAAATTAAAAAGAGAAATGGGCCTAATATTGAACCTTGAGGAACGCCCATTTTTATATTAGTTCCCTTAGACTTTACACCATCAATATCTACAGTTTGCACCCTATCCTCTAGATAACTTTTCATTAGACTTAGGTCATTATCTCTAATACCATAATATTTGAGCTTGTACAAAAGTGTTTCATGATCTACGCAATCAAACGCCTTCGACAAGTCACAAAAAACGCCGAGAGCATCCTGTGAGTTTTCCCATGATTCGAATATATGTGTAATAAGCGCTACACCTGCATCAGTAGTAGACTTGCCGGCAGTGAAACCATAATTTTTTGATTGATTTGATGATTGTAGTGTTATATATGATGTGATGAGGTGTCGCTACATAATTTATTGTTTATTGGTACATAATTTATTGGTATATAGGTAGTGAGTATACTGGTGTAATAATTGTACATTACTAAGTTTATAAAATAATACATGGCTCATTAGTAACGCGTTTTAAATCTATGTTATTGGAGACATAAACTGATGGAAAGGTACTACACGTGCCTACACGTGTAGGCAGAAGCCTTAGTGATTGGCTTATTTACTTGATTAGTTAAACAATATTTGAAAAGAAAAATGTATTATCTTTTTTTTCATAATCGTCCCGACGTGCGGCGCCGCTCCGTTACACCGTAATCGGTCTCGCAGGCGGTTACGGCGCGCGCGTGCTGAACACCCTGCGGGCCCTGGACGGCGGCGACGGCGTGGAGTTCCCGCTGGTGACCGGCCGGGACTTCGTGGGGCACGTGGAGCGCGCGGGGGCGGGGGCCAGGCTGCGGCGCGGACAGCGCGTGTGGGGGGTCGTGCCCCCGCACCGCGCCGGCTGCCACGCCGACTACGTGGTGGTGAAGGACCGCTGGGTACGTGGGGGGCGCGGGGGGCGCGGCCGGCGCGTGTGGGGGGTCGTGCCCCCGCACCGCGCCGGCTGCCACGCCGACTACGTGGTGGTGAAGGACCGCTGGGTACGTGGGGGGCGCGGGGGGCGCGGCCGGCGCGTGTGGGGGTCGTGCCCCCGCACCGCGCCGGCTGCCACGCCGACTACGTGGTGGTGAAGGACCGCTGGGTACGTGGGGGGCGCGGGGGGCGCGGCCGGCGCGTGTGGGGGTCGTGCCCCCGCACCGCGCCGGCTGCCACGCCGACTACGTGGTGGTGAAGGACCGCTGGGTACGTGGGGGGCGCGGGGGCGCGGCCGGCGCGTGTGGGGGTCGTGCCCCCGCACCGCGCCGGCTGCCACGCCGACTACGTGGTGGTGAAGGACCGCTGGGTACGTGGGGGGCGCGGCGGCCGGCGCGTGTGGGGGGTCGTGCCCCCGCACCGCGCCGGCTGCCACGCCGACTACGTGGTGGTGAAGGACCGCTGAGTACGTGGGGGGCGCGGGGGGCGCGGCCGGCGCGTGTGGGGGTCGTGCCCCCGCACCGCGCCGGCTGCCACGCCGACTACGTGGTGGTGAAGGACCGCTGGGTACGTGGGGGGCGCGGCCGGCGCGTGTGGGGGGTCGTGCCCCCGCACCGCGCCGGCTGCCACGCCGACTACGTGGTGGTGAAGGACCGCTGGGAACGTGGGGGGCGCGGGGGGCGCGGCCGGCGCGTGTGGGGGGTCGTGCCCCCGCACCGCGCCGGCTGCCACGCCGACTACGTGGTGGTGAAGGACCGCTGGGTACGTGGGGGGCGCGGGGGGCGCGGCCGGCGCGTGTGGAGGTCGTGCCGTTGAGTACGTGGTGGTAAAGGACCGCCGGGTGTGTGCTTATGACCATGTAGCAGCAAACATTATTCGTGCAAAACAGCTATGCGCCAACTGCAGGCGCGACGCAGTCGCGTCGCTTATATTTATAAGCTCGGTGCGAGAAGGTGCGCACTCGTATTGTACCACTTGTTAGGATAGGATACTAATGACATAGTTTTACGCACATAAGTTGTGAATTAAATCCGAATGAAATTGTCCACGAATACGACTAAACTAGTGGTTTAATTCTTCCCATACAAGCCACTAGAACCGTGCGTGTGTGTGTGTGTGTGTGTGCAGGCGGGCGAGGCGCCATCGTCGCTGGGCGTGGAGGCGGGCGGCGCACTGTTTGCGGCGCTGAGTGCGAGCGCGGCGCTGCGGGCGGGCGGGCTGCGGGGGCTGCGGGGGGCGCGGGGCGGGGGCGGGGCAGGGGGCGGGGGAGGGGGCGGCCCGCCCCGCGTGCTGCTGCTGGGGCTGGGCGCCGTGGGCCGCGCCGCGCTGCAGCTGCTGGTCTACGAGGGAGCACAGGTACCCAAACACTCGCCGCGAGCTTTTCTTTTCGTCGGCGAAAAGAAGAGATCGGCGATCGCCTCTATGTGATCCAGCCGTGACTGTACAAGCTCCGGGAGTTTATGATTAGAGCGTGACAGTGTAGGGTATGCCGTTGACTTCGCGTTCCCTGTGCAGGTGGTGGTGGGGTGCTCGGGTGACCTGTGCGAGTCCGCGTTGTCGCTGGGCGCGGTGGCCGCGTTCGACCGCCACGCGGCCGACTACGACCACAACGTGCGAGACGCCGGACCGTAAGTCTTCTATTCTAGATTTGTAGTCTATTTTCATTTGTAGTTGGAAATAATTATTTAGTTGTTGTAGAAATTTTTATTATATATAAAAAATCATATTTAAACAAATGAATCTGATTTAAATGTTTGAATAGTGCAAGAAATCGAACCCGCGACCATCGGAAATAAAGCGATGTGCTAAAAGGCTAAACTGGGGCCATATAGAAACCACCCTTCATGTAACCGACGGGTTTAAAATGTTTCAATTGAACGATGAACGTGTCCTACCATTCTGCTCGTTCTAGCAGAATCCTGCTATTCATCCTTAACTTGACTGTCATATCCTACTCATCAAAATATGAGTACCGTTACCACGTGGAGGTGGTTGTGTGTATGTTGTAATTCAAATATTGTAATGGGGGAAACTGTGATTGGTACAGCCTATGTTGTAAATAATATAATTGACGTAGTGGAGTAACTTGAAACAGTCATACAACTTGTGAATGGGTGCTGTTTGTGGGGAATGGTTGGTTCAGGTTGAGAACACTGTTTAGATTTTTTGATTTTTGCAATAGCATATGCTGGTGGTCACTGTATTCTTCCAAATATGAATTGTTCAAAATCTACCCTGTATCATCGTAAGCACAGATTATTATATAGAGCCCGTTAGTTTGTGTTCCCGCGGTTTCTGTTCGCCTCCCTTACCTAGTACTGAACTGACCGTACAACGGACTTGACGCGCGCGCGCTTTTGTGTTGTGAATTAAAATAAATTAGAACTGTGTTAAACCTACTGTGAAACCTACTGTGAAACTGGAAAGCTAGCGAAGATATCTTCGAGACCCTGAAGCCCAAGAAATCCGCAGAACCATACAGGTACGTGACAGACGCTTCCCTATATATATACATAGTACTTTCCCTAACATTTTGGTAGCAGAGAGTATTTTCCCTAACATGAATTTAAATGTATCTGTATTACTGTGAACATGTATGATATTTACTTGAAAAGAATACGAGCTGAGTTTCTCGTCAGTTCTTCTCATCTCGACATCGACTTCGAACCGACGGTAGATTTGACATGTCATAAGAGTCTGTAATGGACGTACATGAATAAAGATATCTCTAATTGAATTAGTGCGGGTGGTGAATGTGCGTGTCGTTCGGTAGGTACTATGCGGCGCTGGACTGCGCGGGCGTGGGCGGCGCGGGGGCGGGCGCGGCGGGGGGGCGGCGCGCGGCCCGCTACGTGACGCTGTCGTCCCCGCTGCTGCGCCGCACGGACGCGCGCGGGGTGTGGTGCGGGGCGGTGCGGGCCGCCGCAGAGCTCGCCGCACACAACGCCGGGCCCGCACACGTGCGGTGGGCGTTCTTCTCGCCCGCGCCCGACGACGTCGAGCTGCTGCGACGCCTCGCTGAGCGCGGACAGGTGAGACACCCCCCGGAGCCCGACTGAGCGTCGGTGCTGACCCCGCATAATGTTAGATCACCGTGCCCTACGAATAGACGGCAGTATCACTGCATCCCCGCGAAGTCTGTGCGACGGTGCTCCACCCCACGGTGCCCGACCGAGCCGACACTCTCCCTGCATAATGTTCCTATCGTTCACCTCGCCCTACAAATTGACGTCGGCATCATCATCCGATCCGACATACGAGCGACGGTGCTCTTCTCCGCCGCCGTCGTCAGGAGAATCCCGTCTAGAGGTCGATGCTCTGCCTCGCATAGTATTCTTATCAATAATCGTCCTCCAAATCGACTAAGTTAGTCAAAAATATGTATGTAAATGTAGAAAAGAACGTATCTGCATGTACGGGCTAGCATCGTACATTATTTCACAACATTAACATTTTATTTTACATTTCACATTTCATTAAAATCAGTTCGCATTCGGTCATCAAGGACGCCGCGCGTACTCATTACAATCATTAATCAGTTATATTTTAAGTTTCAATATACAGTTTTAATCAAGTTTCTATCAGTTTTACCTATCAGAATCTTTATAGTTTCGGTACAACCCAATCATTGGTCCTTCGAGCCGGATGTACTCAAGCTTTAGCTAGCTTAACTATGCTAGCTCGTACACTGCATTTTATGTATAGTTGCGAATAGTAAAATATGCATTGCATATGCTGCGGAATAACCCTCTATATTTACATAAAGTTAATAATAATAATCTCAAAACAATTCACACAACGCCATTTAGACCGTAGTTAAGCTAGCTAAAGCTTGAGTTATAGGCATTGGATAACTGATACAATTTTTTTTTGTTTCGTAAATATATACACATTATACCTAAAAAACACCCAGAGCAATACAATCATACTCAAGGATACAAATGTTTGTGCCGTGCGAGAAATCGAACCTGTGACCAACGGATGTAAGACGGTTTGCTGCAAACGCTAAACCACTGAGGCCATCAAATCAAATTAAAAAAAACTCTTGTCGATATTGATACGTCGATCACTTACTTAGGGAGTAGTATAGTAACATTTGGCGCGTGTTGCGAGTAATAATACCAGGTTGTTGGTTGAGACCATGTACATTATTGACTAGCTGTACACGCGACTTCGTCCGCGTGGAATTTAGCTTTCTTTTTCTAAAAAAAAATCAATTTTTTCTAAAATAAAAGTAAGCCAAGTTACTCCTTACTACATCAACTACCTGCCAAAAAAGTCCCGTCAAAATCGGTCCAGCCATTTCAGAGATTGCCGGAACAAACAGACAGGCAAAAATTGTAAAAATCTTATTTTGGCGTATGTACCATATTTATATTCTATGCATGTAATAAAGAATGGTTATTTCAATGTTACAAACAGACTTTCCAAATTTTATTTGTATGATAGATATACATAGGTAACTATGTCCCATAGTGTGTACCTAACGAGTGCAGAATGCGTGCGTCGTCACTCGACCGCTGTACATTTTCTTTACACTGCGAGTGCTCGTCCGGGGTTGCCATCACGCGGCGACATCTCTGATTAACAGATGATAACGTGATGTGCACGGAGTGATGCTGCGGTCGCCGACGACCTCAGCACGACACACCGCCGACACGTGACCTCCACGACCGGACGCTGTTGTAGTTTTATTTTATTTGTGTATATGTAAAACGAAAAAGACTAGATATACGGAGAAATATATTCACAAAGTATTGAGATAAGATTGAAGTATCAAAACTAGAGTCATTATCTAAATATATATAACTCAGAGGTGACTGACATAGTGATCTATCAACGCACAGCCCAAACCACTGGACGGATCGAGCTGAAATTTGGCATGCAGGTAGATGTTATGACGTAGGCATCCACTAAGAAAGAGTTTTGGTTAATCCTACCCCCAAGGGTATAAAATTGGGGATGAAAGTTTGTATGAAACTTTGTCAATTATAAACCGATCGGGCTGAGACTTAGTATGCATAAAGCTACTATGACGTAGGCATCCCCTAAGAAAGGATTTTTATAAATTCCATCCCTAAGGGGATAAATTAACGCGAGCAAAACCGCAAGCAAAACCTAGTCTTATATATAAAATTCTCGTGTCACAATGTTAGTTACCATACTCCTCTGAAACGGCTTGACCGATTTTTATGAATTTTTATATGCATATTTAGTATGTCTGAGAATCAGCTACTATCTATTTTTCATACCCCTAGAGTTGTTCACCCCTAACATTTTTTTTTATTTTTTGGACCATACTTTTATTTTTGTTTTGTTTTTATAACATGGCATTAAACATACATACAACTCAAATTTTTTACCCTTGTATCACCAGCTCCTATTTTAATTTATATGGCAAAACAACGTTTGCGGGCTCAGTTAGTCATTACATAGCATAAAACAAAGTCGCCGTCGCTGTCTGTAGTAGTGTAATATAAAAGAACTATAAATTCAAAATAAAAAATATATTTTTGATTAGCCAGTTACAACACCCGCGTCCACCGTTTACGTTAAGCGTCGCGTACCTCGGCGAGGACCCGTATAAAAATATGTTATAGACCCTTACGAAGGGTAAAGATTTCTCACAGAAGAAAAAAAATTGCATAAAATTAAAAGAAATATTTATTTATCATCTAACTATATCTATCTGTCACTTTTTCCAAAATTTTTACAAGCAATACATATTTTTTTTTCATGACTAATCAAGTCCTGAAAAAAAATATTTGATCAACAGCGCCATCTAGACCCAAGTTAAGCTAGCTAAAGCTTGTGTTATGGGTACTAGATAACTGATACATATATTTAGTTTTTTTTTTGTAAATACATACATACATATTATACATAGAAAACACCTAGACCGATACAAACAATCATACTCATGAATACAAATGTTTGTGCCTTGCGAGGAATCGAACCCGCGACCATCGGTCGTAAAGCGGTGTGCTAGACCGCTAGACCACCGAGGTCGTCAAAATATACACTCTACTTGGCTTTTTTTCGGCAAATGGATTTATGAAATCATTGCTGCAGCCGATGCGGTGAAAAAGAAATTACTTTTTGTAATTTTGTTTGTTTGTTTCTAACACTTTATTGTACAGTAAATACAATTAAATTAACTAAAGATACAATGATCTTAAAAAAATAAGTTGTACAATGAAGGACTTATCCCAAATGAGGGATTTCTTCCAGTCGACCTTTGAATGACTGAAAGCAATTGTGGAGTGGTGGAAATATATGATAATAACAATTAACAATTGTAATTTGTGAAATGAAAAAACAATTTGGGAAGTTAATTTTTGCTTACGCACGTTGGGGACACCCGGGAGCCCCGCATAATTAATATGACAGTAGCTACGCCCCTGGTTTACGTACACCTACACGTAATTATAATGTAACCGGCTGACCCCGCGAACTTAGGTCCGCCTTAGACTTATAATAGGTCTTTTTTTTTAAGTTTAGCTACGCTATAGATTGCTGAACGAACCCTGTTCGACAGGTACGAATAGTTTGTATGGGAAATTAAAATTGCTGTTTTTATTAATTTCTAAGCAATTTCTTCATATTTTATCACCATTTAAACCTTCCCTGGACGTCCACGAATATTTCAAGACTATAATTAACGAAATCGGTTCAGTCGTTCTCGTGTTTTAGCGAGACTAACGAAAAGCAATTAATTTATTTATATATAGATATAAGATGTGACGACTTCTATATTTGTAACACAGTCGATAATACCTACGACTGTTATGAGATGTTATTAGTAAACAATCATGAACTATCACAGTGAACTATTACGGCGGCCTCGTCACCTAATGATGATTATATATAAGTATAAAACTACACCACTTTTACTATGCGCATTAACCCCCCCCCTTCTCCCACGATCGATCCCCTGTCTAATTCAAACGGGGATCGAAATTACGACGGTCTGAGCCGAGGTTCGTACCCCTAGCGGTGCCCTCAGACTGACGTCGTATCCGTCAGGCGAGAGTTGGCCTTCAGCCGCTCCATAAATCCTTCACGCACTTGAAGTGCCATCTGCACTCGCCCCCTATCGACCGGTGAAGCTGTAAAGGCCAGCTGCGGCCAACAGCATTAGTGTCCGGAATAAACAGCGTGTTGAAAGTACGACAATGTAATCCGCACTCGACAAAATGAGCGACTTTTACTGGATCTATTGCATCATATTGTTTGGTTGTAACTTCACGGGCTTACGAAATGATCGAGTGCGAACGATACCGTACCGTATTATCTACATGAGAGATGTTAATTTGTGTGGACCGTGTAGTTGAGAGATGATCACGTTCAGGCGCCGCGCCGCGGTAAAGAGGCAGCAGCGCCGCGCGGTCGGTGATGTGATGCACACAAACACGCGGCGGATGACCTCCGTATCCGAATTTATCAATATTTCAGATAACTTTATAACCTGACATATCATATTAAATAATAACCTATTGTAATCAGTCAATATCAAAACGTTGTTTTCAGAAGCTTCTACTGTAGGAAAACAGAAGGGGAAGGTTATATTTTATGTGAAGATTATCAGAGCACGATACAATCCAACTAAACATATCGTTCAATTGTTACTATGTAGATGAACAAAAACAAACATGTAACAGTCGTGGTGCTGTATACACGTATATTTTTGTTTTCTTACATTTGCATCGACTTTGATTAATATTTTTTTTGTGCGTCAGTCGAAGTGACGACGAGGGAGAAAAATATTCATTGCAATCAATCAATACGATCTAGATAATAATGGTTATAAAAAGCCACCGTAAAAATCAGTTCTTCATAATTTTTTATTCAAATTCATATTAAAAAATCATCTATTCATGTAGGACATTTTAGCCGCTTATGACAGTCAAACTTTTTCCCTACCGTCCAGTTCAGTATATACTCGTAGATCCAATTGAGAAGAACTGGCAAGAAACACAATTGAATTACTTTTTTTTAAGCCCGTTTATTTATTTATTTGTTAAAATTTTAGATAAATTAATAAGTACTCTGCTATTGGGGACGGAAGTCAACACCAACAAAGCAGAGACTATAGAACAAGTCCAGCCTTTTTAAATTGATATATTTATGCACATAACCAATATACGTATTATCATATTATTTCTTAATCGCTATATAAATTATTATGTTGACATAAATATATAAATTATTATTATGAGGAAAAAAGAAATACGACATCTCTGAATTGCAAAGGAACAAATGAAACAAAAAAATTACAAACTAATTGAGATGTAGATAGGTAGGTTCTTTTGAGTCGGTTTAAAATAAAAGGAATTAATAAATATTAATGAATTAACACAAAATGTTGCTTGTATTAGAACATGTACGGTAAAAAGAGAGACGAGCAGACAACAATAGTCGGCCGTACGGCTGACTCCGTGATCGTTGAGAAATTTTCGGTAGAAAAAAAACCTACTTTAAATACATAGTATTTAAAGTCGGTTTTTTTTGACTACTCTAATGCTGTTGGCCGCAGCTGGGCTTTACAGCTTCACCGGACGGTAGGGGGCGAGTACAGATGGCACTCCAACCCAAAGGAAGGACTTATGGAGCGGCTGAAGGTCTACTCGCGCCTGACCGATACGACTTTAATGTGAGGGCACCGCTAGGAGTTCGAACCTCGGCTCAGGCCGTCGTAATATCGATCCCCGTTTGAATTGGACGGGGGATCGATCGAAGAGGCAACTTAAAGTCGGTAACGACTCGACAAACGTATGAGGCGTGAGGTGTCGCCTCAAGGCGGAATGTTGCAGGATGCGATTGAATTCGGAGAGACGATCTCATGTGAGAAAAGTTGTAGTTTCTCAGTTTTCTCAGTTGTGTTATAAAATTAAATTGAGATTTATATTATGCCGTAATTGAAACATTGCAAACATATTAAATATATATTCCACTGGGTAGAAGCCGGGGTTATCTTAAAATGACAAGGGTCGGTGGTTGGATTAGAGTGGAAATTCCAATGCAAGTTTATTGTCAAAATATTGTCTTGTCAACGGGTTCAACATCATTTATAATTATCAATTAATTTCAATATATTAGATATTAAGAGATTTAAAATAGAAGATAGAAATTACAGACAGCGCATTGGGAATAATTCGGGATGTTTTTTAATCTCTGTAGTATATTTGACAAATATAAATACTAAAAAACAAAAAAATTCAATCGGGAAGACGGTTATAGGTTCGCTAATGCTTGGAATCCAGTGATTGGTTTAAATAAACAAAAACAAAAATCGCCATCAGAAATTGTATTAAATGTATTTGAACATACTGTGAGTACAGTTTGCCGAGATGAATATCGAGTGAGTTCCAGTAGTAGCTACAAACGAAGACGTGTGAAGGTAGACGAATACGTGTGCCCATAAAAAGATTTTACTTACCATCTACCCGCTGTATCTTCAGTTTACCCGTGATCATGGTGGTTAAAACACTGCCGAAATATCGGGAACTCAGCAAATAAGTATAAAACGTGATAAGATCCCGTGATTTTTACTAATTACACGTATAACTAAAAAACTAGTTGAGTTTGTCGCGGTTTGGTCGCCGAAGAGTCAACACTAGGCAACAAGCTATATCCGAACTCTATTCAACACCTAATGATGCCTCGTTCAGAGGCGAAACACGTGTCGCAATATGGGTGTAGACTCAATAACGGTCGAAATTTGATCGCCATCAGAGAAGGTCGTAACGGTAGTCAAGTTTCCACACCGAATATTTGTGGTCTCACACATGATAATTGTAGCGGGACTAAACAAAATAGTATAAATCCATTGAGTAGTGAAAAATATATTATAAAGTCATTTTAGAACTAAGCAGGAGAGGGCTAGGCTAGTCGTGATTCCTCGTGACTCTAGGATATTTGCTCTCAGAGTAGAAGTCGGGGCAAAGGAGAGTCTAAATAACGACTCTACCTACCTCCTCCGTGGGGGGATTTCTAATCATTTGAATGATTAGGAATGTTTTTAAATAAACGGTATAGCAAGCGAGCTGACAGCCTACCTCGGCCACTGTCCGTCGCCTACATAATAATGTATTTATAATGTAATAATAATAACATAATTATGGTATCCCTGAACAATTCAAACAGCATCACCTCGTCCCAAGCTAAGTAGAGCTTGTTATGGGTAGTAGACAAATGATATAAACACAGTTTTTTTTATATATAATATACAAAGAAAACACTCAGACCGATACAAACAATCACTTATGAATACAAATGTTTGTACCGTGCGAGAAATCGAACCCGCGATCATCTCCGGGGTCGTCAATAAGAATGTATCCTGTACCTGTATGTATATGTATGTTATTATGTCGCCTGTATGTAGTATTCCACATGCGTTGCTATACCGGCATGGCTGATAGGCTTGCTGGTCCTCGCATATCTCATTCTCTGACCGAAAGCTTGCAATAAATCTGCTTTACTACTGGGAAATGAAGTGAGAGTCACTTCATTTACTAGTCATTTCTAGATAACCGAGTCAGTTAAACGATAGGTTTTCCTCTTTAACGTGTGAATCATATTTTTTTAATGGATGTAAATGTGATGGTGCACCCGCCTGCGCTAACGGTTTACGCTGGCGGGGCACCAGTGGAGGATGACAAGATGAACATGAGGTCAGGTCAGTTGGCCTATGCCCGATGCATCAGGGATTTGTCTTGATGGATTCTAGGGGGAACTGTGTGGAGGTCAACCTGACATGTTACATTGCAGGCATCAGGCTGGCATCAGGCTACATTACTAACAATCCTGTTTCCCCTAGTGAAGGGCACGGAAATGAAGGGCTTACCTCTCGAGAGGCTCCTTTTGAACCTGGGTCTTATATATGAGGGTGAGGTAGCTCCGCAGACGGGTTAGTAGTGAGCTTGAATAATGTATACGGTGCGTGTTCAGTTCTCGGTGTGCGTGGAGCGCGTGTTCCCGTGGTGGGAGGCGCACGCAGCGCTGCAGCGCGCCGCAGCCGGCTCCGCGCGCGGGAAGCTGCTGCTCGACTTCAGCGCACTCCCGCCGCCGCACGCGCAGACCACGCCGCCCACGCACACACACACACACGCACACAACTAGCGACGTCACACAGCGTCTGGGACTGGGCCCGTGGTGGGAGGCGCGCGGGAAAGTGCTGCTTGACTTCACCGCACCCCAGCAGCTGCACACGCAGACCACACAGACCTCACACACACAAAACTAGCGACGTCACACAGCGTCTAGGACTAGGGTTGCCAACTTTTGGCAGTAAAAGAGTATATCTGATTTCAAAGAATGTAAATAAAGAGTACAGACTTACAAACAAGAGTATCATTTATATTATATTATTAAACAGGTACTTTTTGTTGCACAACAATTTTTCATGGTTTTTGGTATTAGCACTAGTATAATAAACATTGTGTAAAAAAGTGTTTTTCAGGATACTCTATTAGTGTTTATAGAGATTATAGATTATAGAGTACGCCTACTTGATTAGAATACAATACTGTATTTTAGAGTACGGTTGGCAACCCTACTAGGTATACATATAGTTTAGTGCAAATATTCATGCTACTTGTAGAGACTGGTCTCCTTTGTAGCTATCACTGATTTGTTTTGTTACTCAAGTAACTATTTATGTATGTCAACTTTGCCTTTTAGCAGTTTGTAATAACAGAAAATTCTTTAAAATGTAATTATGAATAACATTTATTTAAATAACATTTATTGTAAATATGTACAACATTAAAAAAAAATACGAGCTGAGTTTCTTGTCAGTTCTTCTCATCTCGAAATCATTCCGAACTGACGGTAGATTTGACATATCATAAGAGTCTGTAATAGACCTACATGAATAAAGATATTTTGAATTTTTGAATTTTAAAAGAGCAGCACCCAAGTTTCTTGTAATGTCTACTTTCCGAATAAGTGGTAAAATAAATAAAATGTGACTAATCAAAAGTGAATATATTATGTTAATTTAAATAAAGATTTTTCCTATTTCTATTTCAATATTGTAGATATTTCTGACTATTAAAATAATGTTTTATGCACATCTCGCAACGTGAACATGAACACGTGTTAATTGTATTTTTCTGCATAGTTTAATACATTTGGATATAATAAATGTCACACTAAATGATTGCGAAGCCCAGCCCTACATTGTCTTTTGCTGCATTAGAACTTTAAACTTTGTAATATCGCGTGACTGATAGCTGGATGTCTATTTTAATACGTTTTTTTTTGTTTTCATTGTATTGTTGATCGTTGTACCCAAACAATGATATAAATCTACAAAATGTTGATACGTAGATATAAGTTGTTTATATTTTGTAAATATAAAATATTAGTACCAAAGTCCAATAGTATTATTTTCTTGTTTTTATCATATAACATTTGACCTTCATCTCATATCCTTATTGTTACTAACATACTATATACATAAAGAAAAAACTAGGCAGTGCGTCTGAAGCACCTTAATACTGAAACGAAACCGGACGATTTACTTCACCGGCGCGGCCGGCACTGTCTCACCTGTCACCTTACCAGAACACTATGAAAACATGGCTGTATGGGCGCAGCTCCCTTTGCCTTCGGATAAAGGACAAACAAAATAAAATCGGACCGCACAGATTCGCACAATAAAATGACTACATAGATTTTATTAACTAATCTTTATCGTCAATAAGAATAAATAAAAATGTATTATTCGTATATTGGACATAATTAATTTTTGAATTTGATTCAATTAAAATTGAATTTTTGTGTTGAATATTGTTAGTGCTAATTTTCACGTAGCTATTTTTGGTAGTTTGTGCATAAAAAGTCTAAAAATTAGATGCCAAAATACAACAAATATTAATGTGCTACGATCTAGAATCGAACCCACACTTAAAGTATACATCAAATTTAAATTCAAAAATCGTTTATTCATGTAAGACATGTTAGCCGTTTATGAACGTCATATAAATCATAACATCATAAAAAGTGTACCAACATTTTATATAACCGTACTATGTAAAAATCTTTATTTTTAAATAGCATGCGATACAAAAAATATAGGTACATACATACATTATCATTCATACTTTTTTATTACGACAGTTTAGCGCGTTTGACAACCTCACCTGATGTTGAGTGACGATACGGCCTAATGAAATGAAATGAAATTTATTTGTATAACAATTTATTCCTTCTTTACATATGTAGTATAAAACAAAGTCGCTAACGCTGTCTGTCCGTCCCTATGTATGCTTAAATCTTTATAACTACACAACAGATTTTAAGCGATTTTTTTAATAAATAGAGTGATTCAAGAGGAAGGTTTATACATATAATACATGTACACCCGTGCGTAGCCGGGGCGAGTAGCTAGTAGTTAAATAAAGGATAGGGATAAAGCCAATTTTCAGGTCCGTCTGGATCCTGTCCCTGAGCCCTGAGCCCTGTTCAATTGTAGGTAATAGGACCACAAGGAGGGATACTACCATTCCCCTCCGCAACCGTATGTTACCGTATGTACCTACCGTCCACTCTGAATTCAATACTAACAATGAAAGCAGCAAACGGTTTACTTCCGATGGTCGCGGGTTCGATGCCTCGCACGGTACAAACGTTAATATTCATGGATATGATTGTGTGTATTGGACTGGTTGTTTTCTATGTATATAATGTATGTATTTACATAAAAAGGATCTAAGTATATCTATCAAGTGTACTATGTTGGGTTGGGTACTGTGTTGGGAGTAGATGGCGCTGTGTGGAAAAATGCAGTGTTCAGTCCGACATAAGTACGACGAGAGACAGGAACGAGACGGCGCCGACTAGTTGGGAGTCAAGGACGCCAACCGACGCCAACGAGGACCCCCGCACTAAACCAGATCTACGGTTCCAGGTACAGGGACGCATTCACCCTCGTACACCTTTATTTAAAAATTATTCATTTTTTAGGTGTCTACAGACAACTTGTCATCCGAACATCATTAATTGGATGTAGCAAGTGTGACTGACTCCTAAAAATACACTAATATTATTTATTCTTCAAGGAATATTTAGAGAAATAAGGCGTAAGCTTATAAGTGAATAATTTCGTAAGGTTTTACAACAAACTGCCAGAGTCTGTACTCAATTTGCTAGAAAAAAATTCAAATGTCTTACAAAATATTTTCTTTGTAAAAAACCTTATTATAAAATTGAAGAATTTATAAATGATGATAATGGTTTTTGTACAAAATATCTAACTTAAAATCCATAGCGCTGACAATGTTGTCTGATTGAACAGAGATTAAGTGCGTAGCGGTTTCTATGTTGATTGTCGCATGCCTAATCCTTGTTAATGTACACCAGTTTCTTGTTCATTCTTCTTGTGATGAGCCTGCATTCCGAATGAGCCGTAGAATAAAAAATTTTGACTATTCAAAAGTGCTTGTATTAAGTTTATTTAAATAAAGATTATTTCTATTAATAGCTAAATTAGTACATCCTTACTCGAGTTTTTCATATAACAAACATTTAGCCACTCACTACAGTAAATTCGATAAGACGTGGTTTTCTCAGAAGACCGTAATTATAACCGTTTTAATAGTATACAGTCTTGACGTTGATACAATTCTGAATAGGAAACTCACCACTATTTCTGAGAAGTTCAAAATACATCGATGTGGATACCTTTATATGTATATATACTAACTGCGCCCTTGGTTCCACCCGCCTGAAATTTATAGCCTAAGTGTCATTTTGATATATTAGCTATATCACTGGAAAGTTTCAACAAAATCCGTACAGAAATTTCAGCGTGAAAGAGGAACAAACATCCATCCATACTCACAAAGTTTCGCATTCATAATATTAATCTGATATACTGGTATAGGAAACGCGCAGGCTGATACAAACAATTATACTCATGAATACAAATGTCCGTGTCGTGCGAGAAGCGGTCCCGCAATCATCGGAAATAATGCTATGTACTAAACCGCTACACTGCCAAGGTCAGGCCATGGAGGCTGGAGGCTGTAACCCTGCGTGCGACCACAGACGTACTCGTAGTGGTCTGATGATGCAGTCGCGGCGTGGCGTTACCGACTGATCTACGACAATAACAAGTCGCTGAGTAACAACAAATACTCTTGAATACTGCATAAATATATATGTATATGTTGTGGTAAAATTCCTATTACATACCGATTGACGTACATACTCAGTTTATTTAGATTTATTGTTCACTAGCGGCGCCCGCGACTTCGTTGGCGTCGAATAGTGACCTTGACCAAACAATTTAATAATTCTTTATAAATTATGAATTTCCATATAAACTTTCATCCCCTATTTTATTTTACTCACTTAAGGGTAAAATTTTTACAAACTTTGAATGTCATAATCTCTATGTATACTAATATTATAAAGCTGAAGAGTTTGTTTGTTTGAACGCGCTAATCTCTGGAACTACGGGTTCGAATTGAAAAATTATTTTTATGTTGGATAGTCCATTTGTCGAGGAAGGCTTTAAGCTATATAACATTATGCTAGGACCAATAGGAGCCGAGCTGCAATGAAAAATATGCAAAAAGATGGGGAAATAAAACGCAGACGAAGTAGCGCGGGTCAGCTAGTTATTTATATTTAATCAACTGCCTAAAAAATAAGATTCGAGCTTCTAACTTTAAAATGACGATACTTCTATACAGCCTATCACCTCTCCTTTCAACCAATTACAACTGTTTTTTTCGCATTAAAAAGTAACCTATTTCTTTTCGCAGGGTTTAAACTACCTGTGTACCAAATTACATTTAAATCTATTTAGTAGTTTTGCGTGTAAACGCCACAAATAGATCGAGTTGCTTCCAAATTTATAATATTACTAAGGATTTCTATTAAAAAAATTGTAACTAGGTACTATCTGTTAGTAGGCAGTAGAGCAGTACTAACTTACCTATCTGTTTTCATTTGATCTCTATGTACATCTACTTATCTATCGTTGACCGATCTAATACGCTGTTCATTGTGTCGTGTAGTGTAGTCATTGATGTTATTATCCATTGATGCAATGCCTACTATTATTGTATTGTAAACAGTAGCCAGCCACTAGGTACCAGAGTGCTACTTTGTGAAACTATGAAGTAGTAAATAAATCAACTGCAACCTACGATAATACATAATCAATAATAACAATACCTATAATTATATCTGTATCTACGACTATTGAAAAAAATTGTAGGTATTGCATACTTATTATTCCGGTGCCTACAGCACTGGTTAGTCATATAGTACTGTCGGCGAACAACATTCGCAGAAAAGTAAACAATGGTGTTTTGTGTGATGAGCTCGTGGGCCGTGGTCGGCGCGTGCGTGCAGTCGGCGGCCCGGCGCGGCGGTCACACCTCGCACACGAATGAATCCGGCTCGGACCATGCGCGCACTAGCCATAGCTGCCTACTGCCTACTGTTGAGACTGACTTGACTGAGTGACTGACGGCGCGCGGCACCGCGGCGGCGTGCTGGGGCTGCAGCCGTCAGCGGCGGCACCCGTCAGCCGTGCTCGCGGCCAACGGGACCGCGGCGATGCCGGCGTTGCCATTGGCCGCGTGCACGTGGCCTGATCTCGCACCATGGCAACGCGCCTCACCCCGCTCCTCGTTCACCCCGCAATTAGATATCGCGAAGGGAATCGACTCTGCAGCCGCAGTCGTGCCGCAAACGAACTCGCGGCCTGGCGTTTGTAGTGCGCGGTCGACTTGAACGTTCGCCCGACGGTCGATAATTCGCAACTCGCGTAATACGACGGCAATAAACTGACCGTACATTACGGCCGACCCGACTGTGGCCACTAACGAGTGTACACTGGCGGTGACATCGCACTGTTCTCATCGATTTATGGCATTCAAGTTCGAGCTAGGCATTCGGGAAAACCATCATTAAACCACCGGGAGCCGGCGGAGTGCACTTTGTTTATTGTAAGTAAGAAACCGGTTTATAATTTTTTTCTGCGATACCTACGCAAGTGAGGTAGGTAGCTACTTGAACTGAAGTAGTTAAGTACATATAGGTATAACACTATTTAACTGAGAAGCAAAATAACCTCATAAACGCATAGGGAGCATGTATATTATATTATATTATATTATATTGTTATGTTATGGTTACATATTTTCCGCATGTCGTGCTCGACTACATACAGAGGTGAGTGGGTGTACATGTAATTTTTCACTCAATCTCCGGCGCCGTGTCTTTAAGTTGGACAGTAGAGCAGGCGATAGAGTTCTGTAACCTCTAAGTACTGAAGGGTCGATTACAGAATAGGGTTGACAGGTGATCAATAATTGTGTAAAGGAAAGTGCTGGATATCAATTGTAATTATTTATATTAAAGTATGTTTAGCTGGCTGTCCGTTTATTACTTTTGGTTAAATAACTGAATGGGTTTTAATGAAATTCCGCACGAATACGTATCACGTGGTCGCGGCTAACGACTAACAGCTAACTATCTATTTAAAATTTATACAAAACATATATACGGATTTAATTTAATATTATAGACAGAGGGAGGTCAAAAGGATATCAGATCGACCTTCACGCGGTCGGCCGTGGAAATCATGATAACATTATCACTGACCTGCTTCATCTTCATCATACCATGCCCGACTGGTGCCCACCAGTGCATAGCGCATAGCGCATACCGCACCGACATCATTGGCGGCCGCACCACTCCATAATCATCTATTATAAAAACATAATGATGGGTAGAGTCCTATAGACTATGGAGTGGCTGAAACTTTATCGTTTTTATCCAATTCAAAATTTAAAATATCTTACATATTACAGACTGTTATCACATGTCAAATATACCGTCAGTTCGGAATGATTTCGAGATGAGAAGAACTGACAAGAAACTCAGCTCGTATTTTTTTCAAATAATAGTGGAACATGTTTACAATAAATATAGTTTTTAAAATTCAAATTTGGGAGAATAGAGTGACTACCAGCATATGCTATCGCAAAGAACAAAAAATTTAATCAGTGTTCACAACCTGAACAGACCAGTCCCCACAAATAGCACCCGTTCGCGAGTATGACGGATGAGCCAGCCGTCATTGCACTCTACCATATTATAGGGAGCACATATCAGTCGTAAGACTCGCCAATATTTTTGTTTGGAACTACATACCTACCGTTGTTGTGAGCTGCCTACCTACTAGTACCTACCCAGACAGATTTATTTATAGGATATCGATCGACCATCAGGCGCGTCACCCTCTGGAGTGTCACGGCCTGGCTATAAACATATTTGCATTCTCCCGGAAGTGGTGAACTTCAGTAGGTTCTAAATACAGTCGTACAGGTGTACGTTCCCACCACGACATCGGCGACGGCTTCGTAGCCAACACTTACAAAAGCAATCACCCTGACAAAATAGTAGCGAGTTCCATTAAGTCCCGACAGAAATGGCTGTCGGATAAAACTTATACTATTATATTACAGAGAAGAACATTGGATGAGTGTAAAAAATATATATGTATAATTTATAGATAATATAGTGGACTGGTGCTTTCGACTGCGCCAACAGTACACGCTGATCGGAGAGCACGTGATCCATCACGGCGATGATATGAGTAACAAATTACTCAGAGTAGTGCATTGTGATGAATTTACAAAGAAAATCTCAATAATTTGCAGAATTCTGCTAGAAATGATATTCCCCGTTATCAACAATCCCCTTCCCCCAATTCATGGGTATTGATTACCTTCAAAACCAAAGGACTTGACTCCTCAGCCAAGTGAACTGCTACACGAAGTGAACTGGCAGGAAAGGTATTGTTAATAATGTGGACTGTTGATCTTATTACTATCAAAGTATTATATCAGGTTGATCTGCACGCGGTTCTCTCTGGAAACCTTCATGATAAATTCCTAGTATTTCATTGGTGCCCCGCCAGCGTAAACCAGTGTGACCGCAAATGGCTGTACTTTTCCATTATTTGACAAGTGTAATTACTCGTAAGTACTCGTACCTACTGGACTCCAGTACAAGAGTTGTTGGTCGACACTCACGACTGCCCCTCCGATAGATCCCCATATAATTCAAATGGGGATCGATATTACGACGGCCTGAGCCGAGGTTCGAACCCCTAGTGGTGCCCTTAGACTAAAGTCGTATCTGTCAGGCGGGAGTTGGCTTCAGCTGCTCCATAAGTGCTTCCTTCCAGGTTTGGAGTGCCATCTCCACTCATCCCCTATCGTCCGGTGAAGCTGTAAAGGCCAGCTGCGGCCAACAGTATTAGAGTAATCCGAAAAAAAAAAACGACTGTTACAGTACAGAATGTCGCGGACGACTCGCAGTCGTGTCGCGTTATGAGCTCTGTATAAATATAACACGCGTAATGTTACAAACAAATATTAGATCATAAATGAATGTAATAGCAGGTAAAGCAATTGTAACTTGCGAATATTTGTTAAATGATTTTTATTTAAATAATGACACAACGCTGTGTGCGCGGCGAGTACGAGTAGAGACCACTACAGAAACACTATAGAAATAAATAACAATTGTATGTATAATAAATACTAACCGGGTATGAAGTGTACAGCGTACGGCTGTACCTACATATGTAGATCGACATCTGATAATCAAACGACAACAATAAGTAAAGCAACTACGATGCTGTACATCGTACAACTACACAAATATTACCTACACGTCAAACTTGCAACATCCCTAAAAATCTGCATTTCATCTGCGTTCAAATGACGTCGCTTCATAACGTAAAAAATGTCTCAAAATCCAGAATTTTATTCTATGTAGTTACAGCTGTACTCGCGACTTCGTCCGCGTGGAATTTAACTTTACTATTCTAAAATAAAATACTTTTTTTTAATAAATATAGCCTAAGTTACTCCTTATTACATCAGCTACCTGCCAAAAAGTATCCAGTCAAGATCGGTCCCGCCGTTTTAGAATTAGCCGGAACAAACAGACGGACAAAAATGGTAAAAAATGCTATTTTGGTGTATGTACCGTATTTATATTCATATGCATGTTATTTCAATATTACAAACAGACACTCCAATTTATTTTATTATAATTTATAATGTATATTATGATAATAATGAATTATATGACTTGTGTGGTGGTGTGGTGTGTACAGCTAATAGCTACATAGCCGTCGGCGAGTGGAGGTTACTTTAAGAGTTACGACGTAATTAACACGTAGACTCGCCGACATATTCAAATTTATATATTATCCTTCTGATCTCTGTATTACACTTATCTACGACATAATAAGTCTGACCCGATAGAAGGCTGTACCTATGTAAATAGAATGAGTTTCTGCGCAACATTCCAGAAGTTTCGGTATCTGTAACTTTTAAAAAATGTTTTTATTATCACTCATATTCATCACCCGCTCCGATCAAATTCAGACTAAATTCGTCAGCTGGAGTTGGTCGTCAGCCGCTCCATAAGTCGTTTGTAATGCCATCTGCACTCGCTTCCTGTCGTCCGGTAAAGATGTAAAGATGTAAAGGCCAGTTGTGGCCAATATAATAGTATTAGCGTATTCCGAATAAAATATATACTCACCGCAGCATGCCATACAAGTACAGCGACGCGTACAGACGGAACCGTACCAATTGTAACATTAAGTAACACTAACTGACACGAAAACTTAAAAATATATGGCATTTTAGGTACATGAAGGCGATTCCTTTGAATATCATATTCTTTAATTATATTACCGACTGCTGTACCTACCTGCGACTTCGTCCGCGTGGAATTTACTTTATTTTTCTAAAATAAAAGTAGCCTAAGTTACTCCTTATATATAATAAGGAGTAACTTAGGCAGTTACCTGCCAAATAAGTACAGTCAAAATCGGTCCAGTCATTTGAGAGATTAGGCGGAACAAACAGACGGACAAAAATTGAAAAAAAATACGTTTTAGTGTATGTATCGTATTTATATTCATATGCATGTAGTAAAAAACGATTATTTAGATATTAGAAACAGACACTCCAATTTTATTTATATGTATAGATGACTTATTTCGCTCACGGAAAAATAAATCAGTATATAAGAAGTTAGGAGAATTAGCGTTTAAAACAGCACAGCAAAACCACCCCAGGCCTTGTGCTGAAAAACAGCGTTGCAGCTCTCCAGCCGCTGCAGCATTATGCTGAGCACGGACCTATTCAGTAGATACCTCGACAAACATACACATGCACGCACACGCGCACACGCGCACACACGTAATTTGTAATTTTGTAACAATAAATGGTAATTTTTTTTTAATTGTTGCAACGTTTGAGTTTTTCTTTTGTTTGTTTAATGTGTGTGTTAGTTTTTTTTAACATCTACTGAATAAATATTATTTCATTTCACAAAAAAATAGAGACTAAAAACTTTTTTTTTGGCAAGACATGTGATACTTATCCATATGCTCCTAGGTCATACATAACTTGGAGGATGTAACTTCTACTTTATTTTCAGAGAACATTCAAATTTCAATGTCTCCGAATGGCAGAAACATCGAGCATTATAACATCGACAGGGGCAATAGATAGGAATCCTTACACTCCACACACGAGTGGCCTTTGGAAGCCCTAAAATGAAGAACTCCTACTTGATTAAAAATATTGTTTTCCACAACAATAGGTTGGCGGAGGTTCTTTTCACGAGACTATACTATCAGTTTTGACTCATCTATACATATAAATAAAATAGGAGTGTCTGTTTGTAATATTGTATTTATATTCATATGCATGTAGTAAAAACTACATGCATATGAATATAAATACTGTACGTACACCAACATAACATTTTTTACAATTATTGTCTGTCTGTTTGTTCCGGCTAATCTCTAAAATGGCTGGACCGATTTTGACGGGATTTTTATTGGCAGGTAGCTGATGTAATAAGGAGTAACTTAGGCTAGTTTTATTGTAGAAAAAAAGATTTTATTTTAGAAAAATAAATTAATGTTGCAAAATTCCCAGAGGCTATCAATTTTTTGCTCTACAGCTACAACATTTGAATAGCTGGTTTCATGCTCGCTATAAACTTCAAACTTGCGGCGGCGTGGTGGGCCGGTTCAATGTGCTCCCTCTAATATGGTTGAGTGCAATGATGGCTGGCTCGTCCGTCATACTCGTGAACTGGTCTGTTCGGGTTACGCATATACTGGTGGTCACTCTATTTTCCCAAGTTTGAAATTAAAAATGAATCTGTATTACTGTAAACATGTGAGACATTTATTTGAAAAGAATACGAGCTGAGTTTTTTTTGTTCTCATCTCGAAATCACTCCGAACTGACGGTAGATTTGACATATCATAAGAGTCTGTAACAGACCTACATGAATAAAGATATTTTGAATTGAATCGGTATTAAGCTCGGGCAGTAGGTACCCTACAACTAAGCGGAGTGTGTCCATTTCTTTGCACAATCGATCGAGTCCCCGCCGCACATACCTATTGGTGTGGTCGCGGTGTCGGCCACTCACTTGGTGTCAGATTCTGTCATTAACTCATTACCAACCGTCTACGACACGCCGCGCCGCGCCGCCGCCGCCGCTACTTGCACAGTTTCAGTACTATACAGTGAATTTATCTAAATCACTATCGTTTAAATTTTCATCTAAATATATTATCCTGATTGGCAACGAATGAAAATCAATTACAGCAAAAAGAGGAATATATTCAAATTTACTATCAGCTAACTCCAACTACTTAGCTATGCCTCCGTCAGGAGAGACCACAGACATCAGAATTTATTTTTAGAAAGGGCGACGGTACCGTTTACCATCAGAGGAGAGGACCAAAGCAGAAGTACTTTTATATATACAATTTTTTAACTAATTGCCAAAATATGGGGTTCCTAATTCAACTCTATTACTTTTGCTAACACTATACTGATCTGGTATCTGATATATCCCTTCCATTTATGTATCATAGGATAACTTGAATCTTAATAAACCTCACCTACATTTATCTACGTGTAAATATCACTTTCTCATTCATTGAACTACGCAAGAAGTTTGAAGTTAAAATGTATAATTTTTGGTTACTACTTCATGCTTGTAAGTAGTTTTTACAAAAGAACGTATAACTTCCCTCTTTGTCTTCACTACATAATCACTACACGGCCGGTACACAGTATACCTTGATCTCGCCCCTCGAAGCGCACCTCTGCGTGATCGTGTATAGGAGGCCCTTAGGGTTCGCAGGACGTTAATCATTCGGATACCTACGACGTGGACGATGAGCACAAATCACACTTATTGTAGTGTATGTTCGACTCTATTTCCGCGTTTAGGCCAGAACAGAAAATGCATGGAGTTGCAAACAATGTCAAAACATACAGCTGATGTAACGTGAGAACTTGACATATCTGTAGACTATGATATGGGAGAAGGTGAGCAGCAATAGAGTCCTATTGCTAGCAATGTACGATGTTAGAATGACTTCGACGCTGTTTCGTGATAAAGTCCCTGACCTCATCCAAATACAAAAATCATTTATTTATGTAGGACATTTTAGCCGCTTATGGTCGTCAAATTTTTTCTATAATATAATTTCGTCCATGCTATTTTATCATCCTCCATGGTGCTCTGCCATCGTAAACCATTAGCGCAGGCGGACGCACTATTCAATTATCATCCATAAAAATAATATATACTATGATATGTACAGTTGCAGAAGTTCCTAAGTTTCTTTGCTCTGCGTACCTACCTATATTATTACTGATATACTGAATTCCTTTTAAGAGATGTATATACATATTTACTATATATATTACAATTATTTTTTAGTCACGATAACCTGTCCTCTATCAAGGAGGCGACATGTAACTATTCCATTCTATAATATTCCGTAATGTACTACAACTTGTATTTATACTAGTAATTCAGTTGCCCTTTTGAGTCTTTTCCTTGTTATTGTATTGTGTATATATTATGTAATTTTACTCTGCTATTGTAATTACAATATTGTTAATAATTGTTATCTTTAGTTTATTTTATTATTTATTGTTTTTTTTTTACATACATAGGCCGTTTGTCTGTTAACGTATTGAATTACAATTGATAACATTGTCGACATGTAAGGAAAGGATTATCAATAAAACACAGCCGACGCAGTGGGTAGGCGTCGGCGTCGGCGTCGGCGTCGCGGTGTCGTGTCGTGTCGTGTCGTGTCGTGTCGTGTCGTGTCGTGTCACACACAGCACACCGCGTGCTCGCACGAGTAGGTATAGGTATGAAGTAATCTGGTATCGCGGCCGATCTCTATAATTGACGTACAAAGGACTGCTCTTGTTGAGTTGCGAGCTACGTACGTATGTTGCCGACTGGATCCTAATTGAATTCTCCGCTTCATGCGCCGCCAGCATAAAAAAGCGAAAGTAACTCCATACGTAGATGTATTAATCTTATAATGTTTTTCTGACCGAGTGAAAAGAAAATCACATATCTGGGATTACTCCTATTTTATTTTATTTATTTATTATTTAAGTTCAATCCACAAAACAATGTGTAGGTCGGACTTAACACCTTGCGGCGTTATCTACCAGGCCACCATGAGTGGTGCAGAGAAAGATTGTTGGCGGTGCACTAATATTTTATCCTATGTTCTATAAAAAAAAATGATACCAAGGTAATCTATTACTTCTCTATTACTATGTTATTTACTTGGTATCAGTTAAAAAAATATCACATCCCATAACGGCCATGGAGTTCCTACCTGCAGGCGCTTATGAGGTTTCGTATTACGCTTATCATTTTCTAATACGCGAATTTAATCTCGGGGTCACCAAATACTGCTAAAATGATAACCGCACAAAGGTCGTATCGGACACTGTTTATAAATACTGTGCTGAACTTGTAATTAAAAACATATCGCAATTATTGAATTGGGCCGGGCTTCGTTCGTTGACATGCAGCCGAGAGAAATAGGCACCGACCGAGCACCGGCCGAGCAGCAGGAAGAGTGGTATCGACCTTGCGCGTCCTTGTCAGCTGCACGATAACCCGAGGCGGCCGGGCCGGGCCGGGCCCGGGCCGCGGCGGAGCGAGCCATAGTCCGCGCGGTGCAGGCCGCGACCCCGCTATCGCGTACTTTTATCTGCACGTTTGGCTGATGCTGCACCACTCAGCTCGCGAACTCGACTCGCTCACCACACCACCGTCGACCGTCGCCGTCGCTGCCGGCGTCTTCACGCGCACTCAGTACAATATCAATACTTTATGTTGTACTATTTTTGATAAAGTTGAAAAGAAGTTTTTGAAAACTGTGTCGCCGTCATATTAGGTGAACCAACTTTGCAGTCTGACTGCTCTGTTATATATATTCAAACGACGGTGATGAACTGAAGTGATATTTTGATTACAGATAGTGAATTAGCAGCAGTTACAAGATGCCCAGCGCAGCTGTGAACGGGTTGTCAGGAGGCGCTACGGATGCGGAGGATGTGGTGATGACGGGGCTGTCAGGGCGGCTGCCGGAGTCAGACACCATCGAGGAGTTCGCGCAGCAACTGTTCGACGGGGTGGACCTCGTCACCGCCGACGACCGACGCTGGACGCCAGGTACTAAAATTTCCATCTGTGAGCGCCTGTGAGGGGCTCCTGTGTATTTAATTATGTTTCTTATTGTGCCCGTTATATCCTTAGGACTAATATAATAAATGTAAAAGTAGGGATGTTTGTTACGCTTTCGCGCAAAACCACTGAACCGATCATCATGAAATTTTGTACACATGTTCTTAGAGGAATTAGAATGAATATAGATAGATAGATAGATAAGTTCTTTATTCAACAATTACAAACACATAGCATACATGAGATACACTTTGTAAATAGAAATAAAGTTTACAAATTAAATAATACAGAAATATAATATTACAAAATAAAATAAAAATGGAGGTGGCTTTATGTGTCGCAATGATGAAGAGGCAACCAACTCAGCATGAAGCTACAGATAAGTCTGCAGCGCTGATATTCTGTTGGCTCCTATAATTAAATACATACTTAACTTACATACATATATACATATAGGATACTTTTTATTTAATAAAAAAAGCAAACATGTTTTTATAAAAAACAAAAAAATAAAATCCCTTTCTTAATAACATACCCACCCTTAATAATACAATAAAGGGCATAGCACAAAACTGTCGGTATATTATCTTTTGTGTACTAAACAGCTGAACTGATCTTAATGAACTTTGACGTGAAGGCAGATTAAAACACGAGGCCGTTACCTTTTATCTCAAAAAAATCTGGAGGCGGTGAAATTAGGGATTAAAGTTAAATAAATAACCCTGAACAATTAACACAACGCCATCTAGTACGACGCGACGGTAAGCAGAACTTGCGTTATGGGTACTAGACAACTGATATAAATACTTAGATATATATTTTTGGTACATACATGCATAATATACATAGGACCCAGACCGATACAAACAATCATACTCGTGAATAAAATGTTTGCATCGAGCGAGGTATCGAACCTGCGACCATCGGAAGAAAAGTGGCGTGCTAAACCGCTAGACGACCGAGGCCGTCAAGTTATTAATAATTTCTCAAGTAAAGGATGTAATAACAATAGTATGTACAGACAACCAGGACAATTTACAGAGCGCCATTTAGTTCCGAAGTAAACAGAACCTGTACTAAACAATTGACATAAATACTTAATTTTTTTTTATTATTCTAATATTTATGCACTAGCTGCACCCGCGACATTGTCCGCGTGGAATTTAACTTCATTTTTTCTAAAATAAAAGTAGCCTAAGTTACTCCTTATTATTACATTAGCTACCTGTCAAAAAAAGACTCGTCAAAATCGGTCCAGCCATTTCAGAGATTATCCGCAACAAACAGACTCACAATGATTGTAAAAAATGTTATTTTAGTGTATGTACCGTATTTATATTCATATGAATGTAGTAAAAAACGGTTATTTCAATATTACAAACAGACACTCAAATTTTATTTATATGTGTAGATTTGCGTATGATTGTAAATTACCTAATACAAAGTTATGAGTGCAAATGTTTGTACCGTGCGAGGAATTGAAAACCCGACCAACAAAAATAAAATTTTGTATCGCGAAGTAATGTCTGTGTACGTACGTAGTGTATATACACTTAGTGAGCGCGTACGATTGTAAAATCATTGTATGGCGGAACACGAATATTTATCGCGAATTCTTTCCATGAATGAACCATTACAGACCTTTCTCTGTTATTTAATAGGTTCATGATCGCCTGAGCGAGGCAGCCACTCGTACCGACCGCGCGTGCGTGTGTAGCGTGTGTAGCGTGTATAGCGTGCGTCTGCTCTGGTGGCGTGATGCGCACCGCTTAGCTTTGTAGTCTGAGTCCAGTACGTCTGTAGGCGTGGGTAGTTGTGGTGGCCGTGCAGTCGGCGCGTGGTAGCGTCCACTGGACTGTCGAGCACTGTTGACCGTCGCCTTTCATTGACGTGGGTACACTTGTACTCGGGCGAACCACACCGGCGCCCCCGGTTGCCCCTCCGATCGATCCCCCGTCCAATTCAAACGGGGATCGATATTACGACGGCCCGAGCCGAAGTTCGAACCCTTAACGGTGCCCTCAGACTAAAGTCGTATCCATCAGGCGGGAGTTGGCCTTCAGCCGCTCCATAACTCCTTCCTTTGGTTTGGAGCGCCATCTGCACTCGCCCCCTATCGTCCGGTGAAGCTGTAAAGGCCAGCTGCGGCCAATAGCGTGAGAGTAGTCCGAAAAAAAGACTCGTAGGTACTCAGCCAATAATTATGTCACCGGCGCGCGGACCGACTGCAGGAAAATTAGTGATTTTGATTTCGACTTCCGCCAATGACGTCATACAACAGGCGGTATCATAACACACAAATATTTGCTAATTCGCACCGACAGCGTGTTGTATGTATGTATGTATGTATGTATAAATATTGTTTGAAGTTGTTAACATTGAACTTTTGTGACGTTTATTATGAGAAATCATCAAAATTTGTTTTCACATGAAAAAATTACGTATATTGAATCGGTATTGTAATGTTGCGATGTTACCGTTTACGTATCTAATAACTATCTCTATAACAACATAGTGTTGAATACGCTCCTCATTGTCTGCGCTTGTAAACACACACCAAACTGAGGTGAGTGAACTTCTGATCTGCTGTTCACTACTGACGACTGACGACTGACGACTGACAGACATACAGTTCTGCCTACGTTCGTATCCGTGTGTCTCTGGCTCTGCATGCACATGCATATTACATGGCGTGCGTGAGGCGCGGCCGTCACCATCAGTGACGTCACGTGACTGTCGCAGGACACCAGCTGTAGCGGCACGAGTCACGAGGACCCTCTACCGTCCGGTACATGTACCACAACGTACCAATGACAACAACAACTATAATGTCGTCGCTCTACATTCCACAATAGGAATTGCAAGCAACGACCGGTCTAAAAATATGTCAATAGTAAATTTGGTTTTGAAAATTGTAATAAAAACATTTTGTTTATTCACTAGCTACCCACCCCGGCTTCGCACGGGTGTATGTGTATTATATATATATAAACCTTCCTCTTGAATCACTCTATATATTAAAAAACGGCTGCATAATCCGTTGCGTAGTTTTAAAGATTTAAGCATACATAGGGACAAACAGACAGCGACAGCGACTTTGTTTTATATATTATATTATATAGTAATTTAAAACAGAAAAACAGTGTTGCGAATATCGGCGTCCTCCACCGAGTTTGTAGAATTCGAAAAAATACATGCTATGACGTCACCCATGTCACGTTTGTCCAATAACATTTAAATATTTATAATGCTGCCATACTAAAGCTAATTATTAATCAATATTTATCAATTCATCAAATATTAATCAATATACTGGCTTCTGTCATACGGCTAATGCTAGTTCAGGAGCCAGGACTACACAGAAATACTAAAAGGAGATTGATATTGTCTTAAAAGTGTATCTATTGTATAAATATTGTTGTAACGATCCCTCTGAGATAAATAAAGATTATTATTATTATTATATGATATTAAATTAATAAAGGACAGAGACAGTGGTAACCAACTTAAAACTCTGTACCGACGGAACACTCGCGTTACGTGTCCGACACGCTCTTGGTCGTTTTTTTATTTACGTAATGTAGTATCAGTCGGTTAATTGATTCTGCAGATACACTTGTAACTTGTAGCTATAATTATGTACAAATGTTACATTACCCGCCATTGTTACCTGCGAATTGCGCTGCCAGTACGACGGTTGAACAACATTCATTCGCGCATTCAGTCTATTTGCAGTAGTATTTCAATATCCTACATATTTAACATGTCATATATCGGCGTTGGGATAGCATCCCAGCAACATACCTCATCTTTATACAATCCCTGGTGTAGCAGACGAGCGATAATTTGTTCTCTGTACTCCATAATAAAATACTACCATAGCCCAAAGAAAGTTGTCGTGTTCACTTATTTGATATTTAAGTAGTCTTGTCGCATAGTATAGTATTTATCACCATAATATTGGCATTAACTCTGCTTTATATACTCTACACGGGAAATATCCCCCTCTTACGGCTCACGGATCGTAAGCGCTCGGAGAGAGACGTTAACAGACCATCTAATACTAGTGTTACACGTACACTACAAGAGATGAGGTTCGAACCCCTAGTGGTGCTCTCAGACTAAAGTCGTATCCGTCAGGTAGGAGTTGGCTTTCAGCCGCTCCATAAATCCTTCCTTGGTTTGGAGTACCATCTGCACTCGCCCCCTAACGTCCGGTGAAGCTGTAAAGGCCAGCTGCGGCCAACAGCATTAGAGTAGTCCGAAAAAAAAAACTACAAGAGATACATTTAAAAAATACACTTTGATGTTGATACTCGTTTATATATAGTGTATCAGACGTAGGATGGTAATAATAGATTTTCATGATGATTTTATATCGTAACATAAAAATATAGAGAACCTATACAGTAAACAACTTCTAAGAGACCCGTTATACTCTTAAACAGGTCTTCATGGACTGCCCGAACGTAATGGGAAGCTTAAAGATTTATCACATTTCGATGCCACATTCTTCGGCGTGCATGCGAAACAAGCACATCTGATGGACCCTCAGCTGCGGCTGCTGCTCGAGGTGACGCACGAAGCGATCGTGGACGCGGGCATCAACCCTGCCGAGCTTCGCGGCTCCCGCACCGGCGTCTACGTCGGCGTCTCTAATTCGGAAACCGACGAAATGTGGACCAGCGACCCCGACAAGATCAACGGCTACGCCCTCACCGGCTGCTGTCGCGCTATGTTCCCCAACCGCATATCGTACACGTTCGACCTGAAGGGTCCGTCGTACGCGATCGACACCGCCTGCTCCAGCTCTATGTTCGCCCTGGCGCAGGCCGTGGCCGCCATCAAAGCGGGACACTGCGACGCGGCCGTCGTCGCCGGCGCCAACCTCTGCCTGAAGCCCGGCAACTCGCTCAACTTCCACCGACTGAGCATGCTGTCGCCGGAGGGCCGGTGCGCCGCGTTCGACGCGGAGGGCCGCGGGTACGTGCGCTCGGAGGCCACCGTGGTGGTGCTGCTGCAGAAGCGCGGCCACGCGCGGCGCGTGTACGCCACGGTGCGCGGCGCGCGCATGAACACCGACGGCCACAAGGAGCAGGGCATCACCTACCCCGCCGGAGAGATGCAGCGGCAGCTCGCCGCCGAGACGTTCCGGGAGGCGGGACTGAGGCCGCAGGACGTCGCGTATGTCGAGGCACATGGCACAGGAACTAAGGTCTGTAAACATAAGTCAGATTAAAATTACATTTTTAATGAAACGCATTTATCTACTAGATTCAAAATAACTACCACTGTTGGTTTACAGGTGGGCGATCCACAAGAAGTGAACTCGATCGCAGAATTATTTTGCAAAGACAAAAAGACTCCATTGTTGCTGGGGTCGGTGAAGTCTAACATGGGACACTCGGAGCCCGCGTCGGGCTTGTGCTCGATTGCGAAAGTACTGATCGCAATGGAAAAGGGCATTATTCCTGGAAATCTACATTTCAAATCTCCCAATCCTGATATACCAGCACTCAGCGACGGTAGAATAAAAGTAAAGTAACACTGATAATTTTCTAATAATATTATTTTTACTTAAAATCCATAATAATATTACATTTATGTAACGTACTACATATGGACAGGTGGTGGACCGCAACACGTCTTGGGAGGGCGGGCTGGTGGCGGTGAACTCGTTCGGGTTCGGTGGCGCGAACGCGCACGTGATCCTGGAGTCGGAGCGCGCGCACGGCAAGCGTGAGAGTGCACGCGCGCCGTACGCGCTGCCGCGGCTGGTGGTCGCGTCGGGCCGCACCGAGCCCGCCGTGCGCGCGCTGCTCGAGCACGCCGCCGAGCACGCCTCCAACGCCGACCTGCACGCGCTGCTCGACGCCGTGCACGCACGCGCCGTGCCCGGCCACGCGCACCGCGGCTATGCCGTGCTCACCGACCCACCGCTGCAGGAGATCCTCGTAAGTTTTTAATCTCATCCACATATTTGTTGTTCCGTGTTACTAAAAATTTGATTTATTATAACGTTTGCTTACAGGAATTTGACAACAGTGAGCCGCGACCGATCTGGTTCGTGTTCTCGGGAATGGGCTCGCAGTGGGCGGGCATGGCACGCTCGCTGATGCGACTGCCGACATTCGCGGCTACGATCGAGCGAGTGGCCGCAGCCCTCCGTCCTCACAACATCGACCTGCTGCACGTGCTAATCGACGCGCCCGACGCCGCCTTTGAAGACGTCATCAACTCCTTCGTGTCCATCGCGGCGGTACAAGTGGCGCTGGTTGACGTACTGCGCGCCGTCGACATCCGACCTGATGGCATCGTCGGTCACTCTGTAGGCGAACTAGGTCAGCCCATTTTATATTAATTCGACATATGGTAGTAGACTCGGCGAGATCATTTTAGCTAGTGAGAAATTACTCAGATATATTTGTACTACCTGGAAAAATAGAAAAAAGTAGTTGGTGTATTTCATGATCTATCCAAGGCTTTTGATTGCGTAGATCATAACGCACTAAATCATAACCTAGCTTTTTAAAGCATCAAAGACAACGTTCTGGATCAAGTTAAATCCTATTTATCAGATAGTATTTAAAAAGTTTAAGTTACATCTAATGGGTCTCTTGTATGTATAGGTGTATCGCAAGGGTCTAATCTAGAATCATTTTTATTTTTAATTTATATTATTGATCTTCTTTTACCATGCAGCGTAGATGTGACATATACATATTAGGTAAATTGTTTAAAATATATGACGATGTAAACATTACCTTGCAACGTCTCTTGAATTGATTTACGAATAATATCATGACATGCACAAGACGCCGAAAGGTCATATACGAATAAATTATTTTTAGTTTGAATATATTACTTCGGTGGTGACAGGGTGTGCGTACGCGGACGAGACGCTGACGGCGGAGCAGGCGGTGCTGGCGGCGTACTGGCGCGGGCGCAGCATCGCGGACGCCGCGCTGCCGCCGGGCGCGATGGCCGCCGTCGGCCTCACGTGGCAGCAGTGCGTCGAGCGCTGTCCGCCCGACGTCGTGCCGGCCTGCCACAACGCCGCGGACAGTGTCACCGTACGTACCCGCCCCGGTCATTGTTGACGTACATACGTAGTAATCATTAGCCGTAATGTGCGGTACCCGACAAGTAACAATAATAAATCTTTGAAAGTTTTGGTAGATTAAACAATATTATTATTGATTGATATAGAGCAACACACAAGTTTCTTGCTTATTCTTCTTGTGATGAATCTGCATTCCGAATAAGCGGTAGAATAAAAAAACCTTGACTATTCAAAAGTGCTTATATTAAATTTATTTGAATAAAGATTATTTCTATTTCTATTACTGATTAGCTCGGGATCGCTCGCGTTAATTTATCCCCTTAGGGGTGGAATTTATCAAAATCCTTTCTTAGGGGAATGCATGCAAAGTCTCAGCCCGATCGGTTTAATATAGATAAAGTTTCATACAAACTTTCATCCCCTATTTTATCCCCTTGGGGGATTAATCAAAATCCTTTCTTAGCGGATGGTACTTCATAACATCTACCTGCATGCCAAATTTCAGCCCGATCCGTCCAGTGGTTTGGGCTGTGCGTTGATAGATCACTATGTCAGCCACCTTTGAGTTATATATATAGATGATGTAAATACACATGTTCTCTGAAGGTGAATGTGTTATCAGGTATCGGGTCCGGTTCCGTCGATAGAGAAGTTCGTAGCCGAGTTGTCTGCAGCGGGCACGTTCGCGCGCCGCGTCAACAGCAGCGGCGTGGCGTTCCACAGCAAGTACATCGCGGCGGCCGCGCCGCTGCTGCGCGAGCGGCTGCGCACCGTCATACCAGACCCCAAGCCGCGTACTGCGCGCTGGGTCTCCTCCTCGCTGCCCAAGGACCAGTGGAACTCTGATATCGGCACGTATAATTTACTCAACTAAATTTAATCACATACAAAAACTATTCTTTGAGAAGCTTTAATAACAATATTATTAATGTGGCTGTAGAACAATAATTTAGACTCACGTTTAATATCAGTTAAAGTTTGCTCGTTAAGTTTGTATCGAGTTTCTTAAAACTAAAATATACGAGTGAATTGACCATAAAACTTTTACAAGATTCAAGATGTAAACTGTGTACTGATGTACTATAATTGACTGCAGGCGGTCGTATCTCTCGCTGAGTATATTCTTATAAATACTGTCATATTACGACAAAGCTTAAGTTTCTACAGTCTTAACCCGCTTCGACCATGCTAGAGTAGTCCGACTGAAGGGAATGCAGCTATGTATAATGACCGTGGTCGTACGGTGCTGCAGCGAAGCTGAGCGACGCGGAGTACCACGTGAACAACCTGCTGTCGCCGGTGCTGTTCGCGGAGGCGCTGGCGGCGGTGCCGGCGCGCGCGCTGGTGGTGGAGGTGGCGCCGCACGCGCTGCTGCAGGCGGTGCTGAAGCGCGCGCTGCCCGCGGCCGCCGCGCACGTGCCGCTCGTGCGCCGCGACCACCCCGAGCCCTGCGCGCACCTGCTGGCCGCCCTCGGCAGGTGAGTGTAGCGCGTGACGTGCGTGCGGCACGTGGCGTGCTACGCGTGCTGCGCGTGCTACACGCGCCCGCTCGTGCCGCAGGGTGTACGCGGCGGGCGCGCAGCCGGCGGCGGGGCGGCTGTACCCCGCGGTGGCGTGGCCCGTGTCGCGCGGCACGCCGGGGCTGGCCTCGCGTGTCCGCTGGGACCACTCCGTCGAGTGGAGCGTCGCGGACTTCGGCGCCGCCGCCCGCGCCGGGGAGAACGTCGTCGAGGTGGACCTCTCGCGCGCCCGACACGCCTACGTCGCCGGACACCAGATCGACGGACGAGTCCTCTTCCCTGCCACCGGATACATTGTGAGTTTCTTATTCTTAACCTTCCTCGATTTAATTACACCTACTCGAATATAGCTGATCGGAATTGATATGTAATGTTCTTATATTAACACACTGTAGCAGCACAATATTAATATTATTATTAATGAAACATCCACGAATACGACTAAAGTAGTGCTTTCATTCTACCCATACTGAACCACTACGACACCATAGTGACTGATTACCGTTTCACTGCTCCCTCCGCATTACAATTGAAAAAAGGATATTAGCGTAGTATTGTATTACCAGGCCGATCATGTTTAGTATTAAATATTATTTCGACTTTGCAAGAACTGTAACTTGAATTTATTAATATAACTGTATACTTTTAGCAGGCAACAGGACAATAATGACGAAATATAATAATTTTCAGACCCTTGTATGGCAAACTATTGCCAAGTTTCATAATAAAAAATTCGAAGAGACCGCGGTAATCCTCGAAGATTTGCAGCTTAAAAGAGCCACTATAATGTCTCGGGACGTGCCGGTCAAGTTCCTGGTGAATATTCTTGACGGCACCGGCGAATTCGACGTGTGCGAGGGAGGCAGCGTCGTCGTCACGGGCAAGGTGCGCCTCGTCGAAGAGCCGACTACGGAACGACTCTCCATGCCTCCAGTTAGTGCTGTGGAAGAACCGGATCTATTGCCACTAGTCACAGATGATATATACAAAGAACTTCGGCTCAGAGGATATAACTACGGCGGTGTATTCCGAGGAATACGGAGCTCAGATCCAAGAGGCACAAGGGGTGAACTCGAGTGGAATGGCAATTGGATATCTTTTATGGACACCATGCTTCAATTCGGTCTTATCGGTGCCAATACACGAGAATTATACTTGCCTACTCGCATTCAACGCGTATTGATCGATCCTGTGGCGCACGTAGCCGCCGGAGCGGGTGTCGACGTGTTGCCGGTGAGGCGTGACGCCGACGTTGACGTCGTCATCTGCGGTGGTCTAGAGTTTCGAGGTGTCAAGACGAGCCTCGCGCCACGACGTACCAACGTGCAATCGCCACCGAAGTTAGAAAAATACGTATTTGTGCCTTACGATAACGCGAATATTGGTACCGAGGACACGTCGCGATCGAAGCGAGATGCGCTCACTGTGAGCGTACAGCTCGTACTGGAAAACGTGGGAACGCTTCGGCTGAAGGTGACGGAGGCAGCACTGGATCGGCCGGCAGACTCATTGCTGGCGCCGATCGCACTGCAGCTGCTGGAAGCCGAGCCTCAGGTGCGTGTGGAGGCCAGCCTCGCCGCAGGCGCCGCGCACGCTGTCTACAAGGCGGCGCCGATCATCCAGCAGATGGGTATAAAGGTATATGACACTTTATTTACTTTAAAAATATATTCTTAATGTAAGACCGTAATACATGGTACTAATTTACCGAGAAAAACTGACAAATTTGAATCATTTGTGATAAATCATATTGATCGTAATTTGATAATCCTAAGATAGTACCATTTAGCATATTTAATTAATATATAGGTAACAACAAAAGACGCCAACGAAACCGCCCCGGACAGCGAGTGCCATCTGGTGGTGGCGGGCGGCGTGGCGTCGTCGCCTGACAGTGCGGAGGTGCTGGGCCGGCTGGCGGAGGCGCTGGCCGACGGCGGCATGGTGCTGGTGGAGGAGGCGCACGGCGCGCTGGGGGCGGCGGCGGCGGAGCGGGCCGGCCTCGAGCTCGTGTCGCGGCAGGCGACCGCCGACTGCGAGTACCTGGTGCTGCGGCGGCGCGTCCCGCCGCCGGCCGAGCACGTGGTGGTGGAGGTGGAGGACGAGCGCTCGTACGGCTGGGTGGAGCCGCTGCGCGCGGCGCTGAAGCGCGCCGAGAGCGCGGCCGCGGAGCTGCGCGTGTACGCGGTGTCGCGCGCGGCCGGCGGCGGCGTGCTGGGGCTGGGCACGTGCCTGCGCGCCGAGCCGGGCGGCCGCGCGCTGCGCGTCTTCTATCTGCCCGACTGCCGCGAGCCCTTCCAGCCCGCCGCGCCCCACTTCGCGGACCAGCTGCGCAAGGACCTGGCCGTCAACGTGCTGCGCGCCGGCGTCTGGGGCTCCTACAGGCACCTTCTGCTCGACGACGCTGCCGAGGCGCAGCTCCAGGTGCTCGTCTTTACCTTTACTATGAATAGATTTGATGTTCGTCTGTAGATTTAATTCTATCTCAGTATTGTATGGCAACAGGTGGAGCACGCATACGTGAACACATTAACTCGCGGTGACCTGTCGTCGCTACGGTGGATCGAGAGTCCGCTGCGATTTGCGAGCGAGACGCAGTGGCCCGCGCACACGGACCTTTGCCAAGTCTACTACGCGCCACTGAACTTCCGCGACATTATGTTGGCTACTGGCAAGCTACCGCCCGACGCGTTGCCGGGAAATCTTGCAGGGCAGGTACACATTAGATGATCCCCTCACATTTAACAAAAACTCCATATAGTACTCCTTTACTTCAATGACGTCACGTTTCTGTACAGGAGTGTATCCTGGGGCTGGAGTTCAGCGGGCGGTCGTCGCGGGGCGCGCGCGTGATGGGCATGGTGGCGGCGCGCGGGCTGGCGACCAGCGTGGTGGCCGACTCGGGGTTCCTGTGGGAGGTGCCCGCGGCGTGGTCGCTCGAGCAGGCGGCGACGGTGCCGGTGGCGTACGCGACGGCGTACTACGCGCTGGCGGTGCGCGGGCGCATGCGGCGCGGGGAGGCGGTGCTGGTGCACGCGGGCACCGGCGGCGTGGGGCAGGCCGCCATCGCGATCGCGCTGCACGCCGGCTGCACCGTGTTCGCGACGGTGGGCACGCCCGACAAGCGCGCCTTCCTGCGCGAGCGCTTCCCGCAGCTGCGGGACGACCACGTCGGCAGCTCGCGCGACACCTCCTTCGAGCAGCTGGTGCTGCGTCAGACGCGCGGCCGGGGGGTCGACCTCGTGCTCAACTCGCTCGCCGCCGACAAGCTGCAGGCCTCCGTGCGCTGCCTGGCCGAGGGCGGCCGATTCTTAGAGATCGGCAAGCTGGATCTCTCGAACAACACCCCTCTCGTTAGTATCTAATACCTAATCTTAAACCGTTAATTTGAGACTCGCACACCTTGGATATTCGGCATTTTATTGAAATTTTGTAAATGCGAAAGTGTGTCTGTATGTCTATTTTTTATCTTTTCAAACTTAAACCATAAAAACAAATCTTGATATTGAAGATGATTATTCAAATGAGATAGTATCTCAAGATCTAACATAGGCTTATCTATGTATAAAAAATCTGACCATGTCGCTGGTGACAACCAGTAGGTACTTACCAATGAAATAATAATACTAGAAAAAAAAATGAACCACTATTCAATACTGCTCACATAGGGAATGTCGTTCTTCTTGAAAAACACAACATTCCACGGCATCCTGCTGGACGCGCTGTTCGAGGCGTCGGCCGAGGACGCGGAGAAGGCGGCGGTGGTGCGCTGCATGACGGAGGGCATCGCCAGCGGCGCCGTCCGCCCGCTGCCCGCCACCGTCTACCACGACCACCAGCTCGAGCAGGCCTTCCGGTACACGGGCATCCCTACTTCCATGCTCTTTATTTAAATTAAAATGTTGATTTTAAAAGCTAGGAATATTTTATAAATTTAAGTTTATGACAAAAAGTAAGCAATAGTTATCGAATTTTAAAAATATTTAATTAATGGTCGAATTGGTACATGCGATTTTTTGTGTTACAAGTATTTTAGTTTAGACAATATTTTGAGTTTCATTTATATAGATGTAACAGACGATATCAGTCAACGATAAAAAAAAATGTCGTCAGAATTAGACTAGAACTGTATTTTACCGTTCGTTCTTGATGAACTTTTGCAGATACATGGCGACTGGCAAACACATCGGTAAAGTTTTGTTGCGCGTGCGCGAGGAGGAGGCTTCGACGACGCGCCCCATCACCAAGATGATATCCGCCATTCCGCGCACCTACCTACACCCCGCCAAGAGCTACGTCTTAGTGGGTGAGTGGCGGCAGAGCTAGTCGCGAAGTCTATTCAGATCGTTCCGATTGGGTGCGTCCTCTCTAAAATACCGTTTCGTGCAGGCGGCCTCGGCGGCTTCGGGCTCGAGCTGGCGCAGTGGCTGGTGGTGCGCGGCGCGACGCGGATCGTGCTGAACTCCCGCAGCGGCGTCCGCACCGGCTACCAGTCCATGTGCATCCGCAGGTAACTATCGGCCCGCTCCGGTGTAGCGGTGTAGCGGTGTACCGGTGTGCCGGTGTGCCGGTGTGCCGGTGTGCCGGTGTGCCGGTGTGCCGGTGTGCCGGTGTGCCGGTGTGCCGGTGTGCCGGTGTGCCGGTGTGCCGGTGTGCCGGTGTGCCGGTGTGCCGGTGTGCCGGTGTGCCGGTGTGCCGGTGTAGCGCGCGGTAGTGACGGGCGGGGCGGTGTGCAGGTGGCGCGAGGCGGGCGTGGCGGTGGCGGTGTCGCGGGCGGACGCGGGCGGCGCGGAGGGCGCGCGCGCGCTGCTGCGGCAGGCGGCCGCGCTGGGGCCCGTCGGCGGCGTGTTCAACCTGGCCGCCGTGCTGCGCGACGCCTTCCTCGAGAACCTCACGCCGGAAGACTTCAAGACCGTCGCGAAAGCCAAAGTCGACGGTGAGTCGTCTTCGATCGAGTTTCACGATGACGCGACTATATATATATATATATGGGCGATGGACATATTTACTGAACGGGATGTACGTACACAGGCACGCGGGCGCTGGACGCGGCCACGCGCGAACTGGCGCCGCAGCTGGACTACTTTGTGGCGTTCTCGTCGGTGTCGTGCGGGCGCGGCAATCCCGGCCAGAGCAACTACGGCTACGCCAACTCGGTCATGGAACGCATCTGCGAGCAGCGGCAGGCCGACGGTCTGCCGGGTCTCGCCGTGCAGTGGGGCGCCATCGGTATGTCTTTATATATATGTATATATTTATTAGATCTACAAAACTGGATCTCTTACAGAGTACATAACTTTACACAGATAAAATAAACTATTTAAGTAATACATCCTACTAGATGTAGACACAGTATGCATAGCTAATTTTTACACACACAAAATGACACCATACAATAATAATTTGAATTAATAAAGAATTACGTTCTTATATTTCAAGAAAATTACAGTTTAGTGTCCGTTTAATATTACTGACTGATGCACTGAACATATCAAATATGTGTCTGACATTATTCGGATGTTTCCCGACTCCTCCAAAGGGAAGTTATTCCATAATATTTGAGTCTAGAATTACGAATACGCGGCAAGATCTTTACATTGATTATCGGAAAAAGCGAGATGATAAAGAATTATTTTTTGTACTTTCTCTAATCTGATAATGCGAATAAAGATGATTCGTATTGGTGAGGACTGCGAGCGAGGGCGCTGAACGCGTGTCGGTCCGCAGGCGAGGTGGGCCTGATCGTGGAGACGATGGGCGGCGACGAGGCCGTGGTGGGCGGGACGGTGCCGCAGCGCGTGGCGTCGTGCATGCAGGCGCTGGGCGCGCTGCTGGCGCGGCCGCACGCCGTGGTCGCCAGCATGGTGCTGGCAGACAAGCGGCGCGGGCCCGCGCAGCCCGCACACGACGTCGTCCACGCAGTCGCCAACATACTCGGTGCGGACACCTCACCTACCTCTATTTCATTATTTGTTTACGGAAAACGTACAGCTATTGTAGTACCGTCTAGTAAATTTACAAATGTAGTCATTTACATGTGTGGTCTCCACAGATTGTGGAAGTGGCAGTAAAAAAGGATACACACAAAATAACACTGTTCTATGAATTTAATTTACTCTCAAAAATACTAAACATTGATATAACTTCATTGTGTATATATTTATTAATTGTATTATGGAACAAATAACGTGACAATAACATTCATTGTATACGGTACGAGCTCTAAATGAGAAGTGATTTTGAGTTCTAGAGAACGCCGGAAATACTTGTTTCGAGTGGATGCTCACTCGTCGAGAATTTTTAAATGATATATTTTTCAAAAGAGACGGCGAATCTATAATTATAAACAAAAAATTTCGTTCTTAGTTCTTTCGACGGTGTTCTAATGATACGAGATAATTGTGGTACACGATTAGTATAATAAACTGAGCAGCTGAAATGTTGTCACAAATAACGAGTTTCCATTATTATCTTACTAAAACGCACGACTCTGTTCGCAGGCATTAAGAACCCGAGCAAAACATCGAATACGGTCAGCCTCGCGGAGCTAGGAATGGATTCACTGATGGGCGCAGAGATCAAGCAGACGCTGGAGCGCAGCTACGACTTGGTGCTGGGCGTGCAGGAGATCCGGACGCTCACGTTCGGCAAGCTCCGCGAGCTGACCGGCGGCGAGCCCGGCGACGGCGGCGCGGCCCCCGCCCCCGCCCCCGCCGCCGCCGCCGCCTCCTCCTCCTCCCCGTCCCCGTCCCCGTCCCCCGCCGCCGCGGCCGCGCCCGGCGCCGGCCCCCTGGTGCGGCTGCCCGCCTCGGGCGACCTCATGCCCTCGCAGGTGATGGTGGAGCTGCCGAGCGCGGCGGCGCGGGCGGGCCGGCCCGTGTTCATGGTGCACCCGCTGGAGGGCGTGGCGGACGCGCTGCGGCCCCTGGCGGCGCGCGTGCGGGGCCGCGTGCTGGCGCTGCAGTGCACGGCCGACGCGCCGCTGCAGGACCTGCCCGCGCTCGCGCGCTTCTACGTGGCGCACGTGCGCGCCGCCCAGCCGCAGCCGCCCTACGTGCTGCTGGGGTACTCCTTCGGCGCCAGCGTCGCTTTCGAAATGACCCTGCAGCTCGAGAAGGTATATAGACGTTATATTTTTTGCATTCGTTCCGAAACGTATTCTGTATTGTGACACGGTGCCGGGCCGTTCGTATGAATGCGAACCGATATCGTATCGTTCTACTTTCATTTTTTTTTATAATTACAGTCAGGATGTGAAGTACACTTGATTATGGTCGACGGCTCCCCTGCGTACGTGGCGAAGCACACTGCGCTCGGAAAAACCAAGAACGTCCCGCGGACGAAGGCGAGCGACGAGGCGGACGCGCTCACCGTGTTCGTGCAGCAGTTCAAGGAGGTGGACGGCGCGCAGGTGAGTACTGGTCGGCAGGGCGGAGGCCGCGGGAGTCGTGAGACGTGTGAGGCGAGAGTGACGGAGCGCGTGTCGTCAACCCTCAGGTGTCGGCGGAGCTGGCGCGGCTGGGCGGGTGGGAGGCGCGCGTGCGGCGCGTGGCGGCGCTGCTGGCGGAGGCGGAGGCCGCGCTGGCGCCGGCGGCGGCGGCCTTCTACGGCAAGCTGGCCGTCGGCGACGCGTACCGCGCGGCCGGCCGCGTGCGCGCGCCCGTCACGCTGTTCCGCGCGCGCGACAACTACGTCGCGCTGGACGAGCACTACGGGCTGCGCGAGCTGTGCGCCGGCCCGCTCGCCGCGCGACAGCTGCCCGGCGACCACCGCTCCATCCTCGCCGGCGACGCCGCCCAGCTCATCGCCGACCACGTGTCCGCCACGCTGGAGCGGCTGGCCGGCCAGCAGTAGCGCTCCGCCCCCGCGCCCGCGCCGGGCGCCCTCCGCCGCCGCCGCCGTCGTCGTCGTCGTCGTCGACGCGGCCTCTCTTAGGCGACGGCGCACTGAACTGATGCGATCGGAGTGCTTCATATGCGTGTTATGAACTGTGACTTGACGACAGTGTGAAGCGTCGGGCGGTGATTACTTCAAATATATCGTAGGACGTCGAGGCGTTTCCGTCCTCGCAGGACGACATCGCGTAGTACGATCCGGTAGTCGCGATGTACAGTCGATGAGACGATACAATGACGACCTCGATGCTACACCTATGCCTGTATTGTACTGATTATATTCTACATTTCATTACATAGTTAATAGGAGCGTATGTCACAGTACAGTATAACACGTACTGTGTTATATGTTTCATAAAACTGTATCATAAAATTTACTTCTTCTTTCAACATTCCTGAGTGTCAACATAAATGTATATGTTTCATTAAGAAAAAATCATGCAACCGGATACAGTCTGCCAAACAAAACATATGTAAAATATGTACATAACATTACTGAATCCAATTTCTACTGTAGAGGCCTGCGAGCCCCGTGTAGAACTACAGCGCAAATGTAAATGTTTATATATCTCACGTATGAAGTGAGCAGTACTATTAAAGAATCTCGACTTGACATGACCACTTGTATTGTGTACCGGTACTACCACGTACCGGTCGGTAGTCGCGTATACTGTATATTATACAACGTGTAGGTAGTAGGTAGTTATTTTGAAATATGTATAATAACATATTGTCGAGATGTAAGAATTTCAAAATGTGAATAATTTTGAGACAAATATTTATTATTATTATATTATAATGTGATTATGAGACTCATAATTATTGTGTTGGAAATACATACATACATACATGCATGTATATATTTTATATTAATCTCTATTGAGTATTGCGGGTACGTTAGTTTTAACACAGCGGGTCATTCATAGAGAACTCTCTATTTAATGTACTTGATGTTTTATTTGTAGAGCCTAGCTCGTTAGTGTCATTGTGATAATTATTATTTTTTTTTTTTTTATACGAATGAATATTATTATACTGCATGCGTGCGTTCCGGGACGCGTGCGTGCATGTTCACTGTGCGTCGGCCGGTGACTGTGGCGCCGCCCCGGTGCGCACACTCCGCCCACTGTCCGCGGGCCAGGTCAGAGACTGACTCCGCTAGTGGCCACCTGGGCTCCTGTCGTGAGTTGTACAATTGTACATGTAACCGTGCGGCTGTTGTATGATATGTAATCTAATTTATTTTTTTATTGGTTGATTGGCGGCAGCGACTCGTCACTGCGACACCGCCTTGTGATTAAAAGTGCATTATTTTTTGAAACTTTTGTTTAATTTTTCAACGATACATTACCCCTACATTACCCCGAGGTAGCGATTACTCGTCATATTGCCCACTCGCAGTCATTTTCCACGTAATAGACGCCCAGCTAGCACGTCGAACGATTCTTTGTGTGACACCACAGCCTTTTATCACGACGTAGTACTGCGACAGCCACATGACTCCTGTTGTGGTCGTCAGTAGGACGGGATATTTAGAGGCAAACCATGTTTTTTTTTTGTGCAAGTTGCGAGGGCTATATAATAGTGCCTAAAATGTTCTGAACATTGACAATTATATTGGGTCTGTTAGCACATGAAACCTCTTTTTGTATAAAGGCCATAAAATTATAAATGTGAAAGTAACTCTGTCCGTCTGTCTCGCTTTCACGCCAAAACGACTGAAATGTTTTAAATTAAATTAAGTACACAGATAGGCTAGATTAAGAAAGGGCATAGGCTACTTTTCAATTTGAAAAAAGGGTTGTAAGGGGTTGAAACATATTTTGCCAAGCAGAAGATGAAACGTCACTGCACATCCTACATATGTGACTTTAGCCCTCTCATGCGTAAACTCCTTTGGAAAAAAAAAGAAAAAAAAAAGGTATTTGATAGAGTCATTACGTCAATGCTTTAAAGACAAATATGCTCACCGTTGCCTCACAGTACATTTAAGAAAATATTATGTATACAAGGACATACTTAGATAGTTTCTAGAAACTTAAAGACTGTACAAGTTGAAACTTACGCAATAAAAATAAGCTACTCGAGTCGAGTAAACATTATTGAATCTACTGTCTGTCTAGGAATCACACTAGATAATAAAATACAATAGGGTGCACAAATTCAGTCTTGCAGCGAAAGTGAGTTCAGCAGCTTTTGCCGTGCGTAAGGTTAGACAGTACACTGATACTGATACTGCTAGATTAGTCTATTTTAGTTATTTCCATAGTTATGGAATATTATGGGGAAAAGCGGCAGAAAAAAAAATAAAAAAAATTATTAAACCAGTTGGGACCCTATAAATAAATATATACATATACAAATTACTTAAAGTACTAGAATTAACATAAAGTAAGAATAATAATAAAACAGTATCACAATATTAAGAGGCCTTTCACATTTTTTTGCCGTAAAAGCGGGGTCTTTGGGGTTCTGGTTCTAAGAAATTAAGAGTCGGATATACATTTTGATTCCTGAATTATATAGATAGATATCTAATCTTAAAAACAACATCTTTGAAATGTTAATTTTCTCTTTGTTAGTCTTCCTAATTTCTAAAATAGTTTATTAATGAACGACGACCCCAAACTTCTGTTTGGGGTCGTCGTTCATTAATAAACAAACATAAATTGATATGATGTCTTTACTAAAACTTGATAATTACTTTATAAATTGAGACAGCATCGTCCTTTTTTATTTATTTTTTTTTCTTCAACTTAAATATCTAAAAAAACTATCATAATTAAACCCAAAATTTCAACAAAACTTTGCCGTAATCATTTCTAATTTTCTCATAAATACAACGAAATATTTGCCTAAAAAGAAAACATAATAATAAAGTTAATATACTTGTAAATTAGAAATATAAAAAAATATATAAGTTTCTAAGAAAAAAATAAACAATAATAATAATTTAAAGTTGTATAAATTCCGTTGCGCCAAAAGTAAATTCTCAGTGCTGCGCTAGCGCTCGTCGAGGTAGGATCTATGCCATTTTTTACGACACCGCTACGATAAGATATTCGTAAACATTTGTCAGTGAACATTACTATAGTGCGACTAAACAATTTTGATAATTTAAGTAATATTTAATTAATTTTGCTAATACATACTTTTATTTCTACGAATAATAATTTAAAGTTGTTGTTTATATATAACGAGGGTAGTTCCTCTATTTGGGATACCTCGTCATCAGAACCCATGTTGGGCATGGTGTAGGCACGAAATAATAGTCTTGATTTAAAGTATAATAGTCTATTAACTCACTCCCGATAACAAAATAATAAATTTAACAACGATCAGCCAGATGCAAACGGATTAGTCAGGGAAACGCGGCAAGTTCGGTACAGAGTGCAGAACAACCTCTCGCGCTCGCCCCCAATTCAAAAGTGCCGTTTCGTAATTGCCGTTAAAACTGCTTTACCCTGTACCGACCTCACCCAAGCAAACCGCTTGACGTTTCCAACAACGATAATAGATGGCGCTATTCTAGTAGAAACTAATCAATTGAGCCTCTTTGTTAATTCTGCGACACGGCCATCTTGACATTTCACACGTCCTCGTGTGAAGCATCTGAAACAAGAATTCACGGAAAGTAAAACGTCCTTTGCTCGGCCTCCCTGACCGACATGTAATGATGATGAAAACAAAGTCACACAATTTTATTTTGATTCACACAGTCTCTCTAAATCTTATAAAGGGAATCTCAATATCGCAAATAATCACCACAGTGTGATAATTTCGCATAAGGTTCATAATCATAATCAATATTCAGAACAAATCGTGAAACATTCCAACCAAATCCAGTATGCAATGCTCTGTTAGGTACCAAGTCTCTGTAACACAATGCCTCCATCTGGCAATTCAACGGGACCTCCATCCGGTACCCGATCACAACACAATACATTGCCTCCATCCGGCAATTCAACGGGACCTTCATCCGGTACCCGATCACAACACAATACATTGCCTCCATCCGGCAATTCAACGGGACCTCCATCCGGTACCCGATCACAACACATCACATTGCCTCCATCCGGCAACTCAACGGGACCTCCATCCGGTACCCGATCACAACACACTACACCTACTTGGCACCCCAGCAGTTACTTACATCACCATGCCGACGTTGGCCACCAACCTTAAGTAAACACTTAGGCTCGCAGCCACGGACAACATCGAAATGCACGCAATCCGAGTCACTTGCATACTGTATTTGCTTCTTCCCATTCCTCACATAAGGTCACCATCATTGTCAGCCGGTCCTGTCTCGTCAGTCGGAATTGTCTCGTCAGTTTTGCTACAGTCATGGTCAGAGTCAGTGTCAGAGTCCTTGTCGTCAAAATTATCACTATCAGGCATTTTTCGAAGACGGTCGTGCGCATACTTATACGTCCGATTCGAATTGAGAGCTTTGAGTACATACCGGTCTCCTTCCAGTAACTCTACAACTTTAAAAGGCCCTTTGTATTTAGGATCGAGCTTTGTCTGATTTCGTTCTTCATTTTGCAGCAGTACAAAGTCACCAATAGTAAATGGTTGTAATTTAGCTTTGGTAGAATCAAAACGTACCTTATCATAAGCTGAGCCGTTCTCCATATTCTCCACAGCCTGTGACCTTACCTGCTCGATATCGACTACGTGGTCGTCATCCAATACTGATAGGACATCTAAAGGCCTCGCAACCCTCCCAATGAGAAGTTCTAAGGGGCTGGCTTGTGTGACTCGATTCATCGTGCAGTTGAGAGCCAGCTGCACGTCAGGCAAAGCATCTTGCCACGAGCGACTACTTGTTTCTATTGCAGTAAGCATGTTTTTCAATGTGCTCATGACGCGCTCCACCTGGCCGTTGGCCCTCGAACTACCTGTCGCTATTAGGTGAAGCTTAATGTTAACAGACTCGCAATAGTCCTTGAAGTCT